ACCCTACAAATCACATCGGTGGGTTCCCAGGCCTCTGTCTTCTGGTCAGGCCTGGTCCAGGGGAGGCAAGCACAGAGGGGGAGGCTAGAGTTTTTAGCTCTCTGACTGGCTTCTGTGGCTTGGCTGTGTCCCTCTACATAAGGCCACAGCAACTGTTGGGCCCTGGTCCATACAGGTCTAGCAAACTCTGCCTGGCCCATCAGTCTGGGGATGATAGCAGCTCATCGGGCCTGCTCCAGGGCTGCTGCATCACATTCCACTCTGGACCCAGGCTTTCCATCTTGCTTTCACCTTTTTTCCATCTCTGAGCTCTTGGTTTCTCATCAGCTTCTAAAATGTTGACAAGATTCAGAGGCTCCTTCATCTCTATACAGCATGGAGCGTTCATTCCCAATACCATCACAAACATGAAATGACAGGTTCAGATGCTGGTGTGGTGACTCCTGTATGCTCCACAGTACCCATCCCATCCACCTTTTATGTCGTTGGATTCCCAGGAACATGACACCAGACTTTAATGTCCCTAGTAGTTTTCCAGGGTCAGGACCACACAGAACAAAGCAGGTTCTTCTGTCCAGGCTCTCCGATTATCCTCAAGGTGCTGGCCTAGATTCTTGAGTCCTATACTCAAGACCCGATATATCGAAGACCCTTAACTTCCAGGTATGGAATCTTAACCCAAGTCAAAGACCCTTGCTTGAGAGAGAAGGGCAAGTGTGGATTCCCTGGCCAGAATTTTGTGAAACAGACTTCAATGGATATTTGTATAAAAACATTTGCAGCCTTCTCAGCCATTCATTAGCAGAGATCCTCATCTGTGTCTCTGAGAAACAACCTTGACTGCGATGTCCTGCCGATGGATTCTTCTCACTCCAGCCCCATGAGCCTGCCTCTGCTCTCTGCACTGCGAAGTGAGAGTTCATTTTACCACATCAGCACAACACCATTTTCAGCTGAGAGCCACCTTGGGGTTTGCAGGAATCCTAAATAGAAACTGGTTGACTGCGAACACAATGCTGCTGAAAGCACGGATGGTGTGGCTGTGGAAAAGAACCTGTCCTTGACACATCAAGGTCATTCCCAAGTAGTTCTCTAGATCAGCACTGCCCACTGGAACTTTCTGTCCCAATGGAAACCCACAATCCTGTGCTGTCCAAAACAGTAGCCTCTGGCCACAGGTGGCTGCTGAGCACTTGAAACATGGTTAATGCGACTGAGGAAATGTATCTTATATTTCATTTAGTTTAATTGCTTTAGACTAAAGCTTCCAGGTGGCTCTGCTATAGTTCCATAGTTCAAATGATGAATCATCTTTCATGAAACAAAAACTAGCCAAGGGATCAGCGCCTCCACCCTTGGAGTAAGACACAGCAAGAAGGACCTGATTGTTCTGACCCTATTAGACTGCTTCTTTGTAGCCAGGATGAAGTACTTGAGGAGGACTACCTCATGAAGAAAACAGGCTTGTGTAAGCTCACAGTTTGGGCTGCAAGTTCAGACAGCATGGGGCAGCTCTTGCAAGGGTCCCCATGGCTGCATTACGCCATGGGGGAGGCATGCAAGTCTCATGTCTACATGATGTCCCTTCCTCCCTCTACTTCTGCAGTCACCAGAATTCAACCAGGGGACTCCAACTAACGGCTCATCTAATCTAATCCCTTCGAAGCCCCACCTCTAAACACCGTGTGGAGCTAAGATTGGCCTCTCTTAGTACCATAAACACACAACTGTGGGGATTAAACCCTGCATGATTTTTCAAACCAGGGCAGTGACATTGAAACACTTCCCACAGTCTGACAAATGGAAAAATATTTTGCAGGTGGTTCAGCAAATGTGTCTGAAGTTGGAGAAACATCAATACTCTTTTGTCATTGTCCTGCAGAATTTGAAACTTAACGTTCAACTCTATATGCTGCTCCCCTGACTCCTACCACCACCACAGACTGCACTTTCTACAACAGGCTGAGGCCTTTCCTTTCTCCTGACTTGTCAGATGTCACTATTTACTGAACACCTGCAGTATACTAGGTATACAGGATGGGGCATTTGCTTCATCCTATGGTCTGTAGTCTGTGATGGCTTAAGAAGGGTAAGCTGTAAGTGAAAGGCTCTTATCACAATACCCGACTTCAAACTATATTACAAAGCAATCACAATAAAAACAGCACGGTACTGGCACAAAAACAGACATGAAGACCAGTGGAACAGAATAGAGGACCCAGATATGAAGCCACACAACTATAACCACCTCATTTTTGACAAAGGTGCCAAAAATGTACGATGGAGAAAAGACAGCCTCTTCAACAAATGTTCCTGGGAAAAGTGGTTACCCATCTGCAAGAAACTGAAACTAGATCCATGTCTATCACCCTGTACTAGAATCAACTCAAAATGGATCAAGGACCTAAATAGCAGACCCGAAACTCTGAAGTTAGTACAGGAAAGGGCAGGGAATACTCTGGAACTAATAGGTATAGGCAAGGACTTCCTCAGTAGAACCCCAGCAGCTCAGCAACTAACAGAAAGGATGGACAAAAAGGACTTCATAAAATTAGAAAGCTTCTGCACAACAAAAGAAATGGTCTGTAAACTAAACAGACCACCCACAGAGTGGGAGAAAATATTTGCCAGCTACACATTACACAAAGGACTGATAACCAGAATATACAGGGAACTCAAAAAACTACATTCTCCCAAAACTAATGAACCAAGTGAACTAAACAGAACTTTCTCAAAAGAAGAAATTCAAATGGCCAAAAAACATATGAAAAAATGCTCACCATCTCTAGCAATAAAGGAAATGCAAATTAAAACCACGCTAAGATTTCACCTCACCCCTGTTAGAATAGCCATCATCAGCAACACCACCAACAACAGGTATTGGCGAGGATGTGGGGAAAAAGGAACCCTCTTACACTGCTGGTGGGAATGCAAACTAGTACAACCACTCTGGAAAAAAATTTGGAGGCTACTTAAAAAGCTAGACATTGATCTACCATTTGATCCAGCAATACCACTCTTGGGGATATACCCAAAAGACTGTGACACAGGTTACTCCAGAGGCACCTGCACACCCATGTTTATTGCGGCACTATTCACAATAGCCAAGTTATGGAAACAACCAAGATGCCCCAGCACTGACGAATGGATTAAGAAAATGTGGTATCTACACACAATGGAATTTTATGCAGCCATGAAGAAGAACGAAATGTTATCATTCACTGGTAAATGGATGGAATTGGAGAACATCATTCTGAGTGAGGTTAGCCTGGCCCAAAAGACCAAAAATTGTATGTTTTCCCTCATATGTGGACATTAGATCAAGGGCAAACACAACAAGGGGATTGGACTTTGAGCACATGATAAAAGCGAGAGCACACAAGGGAGGGGTGAGGATAGGTAAGACACCTAAAAAACTAGCTAGCATTTGTTGCCCTTAACGCAGAGAAACTAAAGCAGATACCTTAAAAGCACGAGGCCATTAGGAGAAGGAGACCACGAACTAGAGAAAAGGTTAGATCAAAAAGAATTAACCTAGAAGGTAACACACACGCACAGGAAATCAATGTGAGTCAACGCCCTGTATAGCTATCCTTATCTCAACCAGCAAAAACCCTTGTTCCTTCCTATTATTGCTTATACTCTCTCTACAACAAAATTAGAGATAAGGGCAAAATAGTTTCTGCTGGGTATTGAGGGGGTGGGGGGGAGAGGGAGGGGGCGGGGTGGGTGGTAAGGGAGGGGGTGGGGGCAGGGGGGAGAAATGACCCAAGCATTGCATGCACATATGAATAATAAAAATAAATAAATAAATAAAATAATAATAATAAAAAAAAGAAAGGAGTGTGTAGTAACATTGTGATGAATTTGCCCTTTTACTTAGTGACTCTGAGAATTCACTAAAATCCGGTCACATTTAAAAAGTCAAATTCCACGATAGCAGTAGCATGGTTGGGCATGGGTCTCAGAGCAGTGACCAGTTGCTAACCAGCATTGGATCAGTTCAGAGCCAGGAAAGTAATAGCACTGATTCCAGGATTAAGGGGTGGAGTGGGCAGCAAAATTCACTGAGTATAAACAAACAAGAAAAAAGGCAGACATTTCGTTCTTAATAACAACATCCATTCTGACTTTAAATAGGACAATACCCAGGAGAAAAAGATGATCGTGAAGACAGGTCAGTTTTGTACAGATGTCTTTTCCTTCTCACCAAACGATTGTTTTCTAGACATTATGATTCACTGAACTATCACCTAAACAGTAGAGTTAAGAAAGGCATTCGCATTTGGGGTGTTTTCTTTTTTGTTTATTAAAGAACTCATCAGCAAGCATTTCCAGCTCTTTTGTGATGACTCCAGTATGTGAGTTTCATCCCCCACCAGCAGAATCCACACCTAATTCATTTGAGGAGATAAGAGGTCTGACAGAGCAGATAGCAATGACCATCTTGTAAATATCCAGTCTTGAGATACTTAGGAACATGGGCACCAGTGTTAAATTCCATCTTCTTTTCACCTTTTGGGCTCTGATTTGCCAATTTTAGAGTTCTGATTGATCCTAAATTTTATGCTCTTGCTTCATTGATAATGTTCAGCAATGTCCCTCCCTACTAACCATACATAAATATCATCTTAATAAGATTTAGGAGTATGAAAACACTTTTAAAGTCAGGGTAGAATAAAGTCTTACCTATCATTGTCCTGGATTCACAAGCAGGAGTGTTGAGGGGTGACAAACATCACTGTCATACATGTGCAGGTTTTATGTAATCTCTTGAAGGAATTCACTAAAGCCATGAAATATTTTACGAGTCAAATTGTATTGGAATCTGAGAAAATTGATTCCTCTTGTCACTATAGCACATCAGTTCCAGTGGCTCCAATATGGCCTCTTCAGGTCATGTTGGCAAAGTACCCAGTCTCAAGACGAATAGGGACAATGATGTCATCCAGGTGTAAATTGTCAGCCAACCACAACCTGGAGCCTACTGGAAGTCGTTACTATACTATAGTTACATTCCTGACCTTCTGAGGACTGGCAATACTAAAAGAGACCTGTGGGCGACTCCCCGGGTTAGGCTGATGTTTAGCAGGTTCCTGGCAAAAAAGGAAAAAGGATCAATTTAATTGGTTGAACTCCCAGCAAGATACACACATGAGAAAAAAGCTCCATGCATCCAATAAGATAAAATGAGGGTGCAAAGAGGAAGAAAAATGTTAAAACACATCCTTCCTTTACTTCATTTACTTCCAGTAACACACAGGCTAAGCATTTTCAAGTTAAGAGCCCAAAGAGCATTCCAACTCCACAAAGGTAGGATTCATTCTGAAGAAGACAAATTATAAATGCAAAGATTTCCTGTTTTGTTTTGTTTTCTAATTTTCCTATGGGAGTTTCTTTATTAGCTAACTTTTTTAATGAAAACTTAAAGCATTTCTGGGTGTCTTTGAGCAACACATATTCTTTCTAAAAGAAGAGGGAGGCAAAATGGAAGAATTGATTTGAAATAGTCTTCTGCCTCCTTGGGCACTGTGCCATGCTGGCTTCCAGCAGGAAGGAGCCTGCTGTCTACCATTCACATGCAAAAAGTCTTCCCAAACAAACCAGTGAGGCCTCCAGAGGGGGCAAAGGCCTGTCTAATAGGAGCGCCCTATTAAAATGTGTACAACCTGTCTCTCCTGCCAGCCCTGGCCACACCAGCTCAGAATTTAATGTGGTAAATAATGCAACTGGGAAGGATAAATTATTCACATTGCCATGGAATGTGAAAGAGTCTTTCAGATAGACTCACACTGGCACACGGGTTTAATTTATTGATTCCCAATGCCAGGAGAGACCTGGCCGGCAGATGAACTGCTCTCAAGATGGTCCCTCCTGCTGTGAATGGACTGCAGATTTTGGCTTTTGTTTCTGTTTCCACTGCCGGTTTGCACACACGTCTTGTTGCTTTCTAAATTTATCACGAGTTTCACTCTGTTTATCTCAATGAGAGGAGTGCCGAGTGAGGAAGACTCTATCCAAATAATAGGATAAATAGACTTTATCCTATTTATAGGCTCATCCTCTAAAACTGACAGAGAGTGAGACAGAATTGCCCAAAACAGCCAGGAAACTTGACTGACAGTGAGTCCGTTCCCCCTCTTTCCTCTGGAAAGGAGAGAGAAAAAGGATGACCTACTTGTTTTCAGTTATCACCAAGATACACAATACTTCAAACCTTATGCTTTCATATCAAATTAAACAGAACTTTCCTTTCCCATTAGCTGACTGCAATTTTTAGTAAAAATTTTAAGTCTGACTTACTAGTTTTGTCCTAGTGGGTGGCAGCTGCAGTTACACCTGAGCTAACTCTACTGAAAACACAGATGCTGTTGTCTAGAAATGGCGTCGGTGTTATACATCCTCACTGTGGACTCTGTCATCATAGAAGCAATTAGTGAAGACGTATTGTGTTTTGGTATTTGTCCACATCGAAAATCAATCTCTTTTTTCCTTCTGCTTTTTCCTATAATTCAATGCATGACCTGGGGTTTTTGCAGCCCAAACTCTTCCTTTGCTCACCCTTTTTGAATGTAGCGTGACTTAGGACCATACAGACAGTATAGAACACAGGAGGTCTAAAAGGATGCTGCCTCGTGGATGCTGGAGTATTGCAGTGTCCTAACCTTGCACTTGGCACTGATCATGGCCACTTCGTAAGCATCTCAAACTCTTTTCCCTGCTTTATCAGCAAGCGCAGTGCTACAAGTACATGAGGCACAAGTGATTCCAAATGCACAGTTTGGAACTAGACACCCCCTTAGAAACCTTCTGTCCATATCTGCAAAAATATTTTCCTCAAAGCAGATCCCCTGGGGAATGTGGTAACAATACCAGTTCTTTGTTCCTATCCAGAAGTCTGGAAGAGCCCCAAGAGTCTGCAGTTTAGCAAGTCCCCCAAGTGCTTCTGGAGTGCTACTGTATTAAGAACTACAGCCAAGCCAGCAGGGAGCCAAGACATAGGTTTTGGTTTTTTGGGGGGTTTTTTTGGCCATACTGGGGTTTGAACTCAGGACCTCACACTTGCTAGGCAGGTACTCTACCACTTGAGCCACACCACCAGCTCTTTTTTGTAATGGGTTTTTTCAAGATAGGGTCTCACCAACTATTTGCCCAGAGCTAGCTCTGAATCACAATCCTCCTGATCTCTGCCTCCTGAGTAGCTAGGATTACGGGCATGAGTCACCAGCACCCAGTAATCTTTATAATGCAAGCATACAGTCTTCATGAGACATATCCCTGGTTTCTGCCAGGGCATGGCAGGAATCAGGACGACCCAGCTCTCAGATAAAACTCCCTGTTCAGGGAAGACCCCCAAGGAGTGGGAAGAGAGCGGAAATGAGCAGGAGGGAACTCCAGGCAGTCTAGGCTAGGTGCTCTGAAAACCCTGTGCCTCACTCATCCCGTCATATACACCCCAACTTCTGTCAGCCATCCTTCTCCTGTAGTTCTGACTGTGGCTGCTGGCCTTCTACAGAGAAAACCTCAGCCACAGCCTGCCCAAATGATGCTGTCCATGGGACAAACCCTCACCCTTGTGAAGTTTCCCATGGACTACTCCAGTGAAACACCAGGCAATAACTAAGGGTGACCAGACAGTGTCACCCTATATCTCACCCTGCAATCCTCCACAGCTCCAGCATTCTGGACCTCAACCAAAAGGACACAGAAGAGTCAAGAGATATAGGGGCCTGTGTGTCAGCAGATGGGGTTTCCTACCACCGGAAAATATCAAAATCCAAGTCTCCTGTTTTAGTAACTGTTGAGTTTGTAGGCTGCAATTAAAGTTGTGTCACATGGTCCATGGTGACAATGCACAGGTAGAGGCAAAATTTAGACACAGGTGTGCAGAAATTGGAGGAACCGGCAGTCGTGACACAGAGGGCAGAGGTGCAGGAGTAACTCAGACACTCTGCCTTGCTTCACGTGCTATGTCCACAGCCCTGAACCAGGGCCATCACCAGCTCCCAGGCTCTGTGTCTGGACCCTCCTCTACTGTAGGGGCAGCCACACAATTCTGGGCAGGGGAGCAAGAGTATGGGCGCTGTCAGGCCCGGGGAGGGGCTTAGACATTGCAAATGCCTTGGGACACTGAGCACCTGCCAGGTAGAGGGACATTCCAAAGGAGGCAAGCTGGGGTTTCATAACTGCCCTTCATCCACTCCAGCACCCCCTATTCCCATCTTCCTGTGGGGACCAAGTGCCTTTACCCTCAGCCACTGCCAGGACCACATCAAGGTGTTCTAAGAGAACTTGGATGCCTCCCCAACCTTCTGAGCCAGGGGCCAGAAGCGGGGACCAGGATCCCGAGCATCCCAAAGGCCTCCTGTTTGTGGGCAACCTCAGTGCATCAGGCTCCTCCTTCTTGCAACGTGTCTGACAGGGGACCCTTGGAGAAAAAGGTGCTCAGACCACAATGGAGTGAAATGCAATCTAATGTGATTTTTAGGTGGTGGCGTCCATCTGTGCCTATCTAACAGCATGTTCTGTCATAATGGGGGAGGGCTGTGGTCAACAACACAGGAATGGTGTTCATGTGCACAGCTACACTCCTCCTGGCACCCTGCCATGACAGCACAATGACCCCCTGCTCCACTTTGATGAGTGGCTCTTTCCTGGCTTTCTAGGAAAACTGTTCTAGACAATGTATACTCAACAACCACTGCTGTTAAGACCTGAAAACACTGAGTCCTATGGGTGGCGAGGGTGGGAAGAGGAGAAGGTGGCATTGACCGAGACCAAGGGCACGTCTCTATAGTCACTTCACTGCCTTCACAACCAGCTCCCTCTGCTCGGAGGCCCGTTAGCACAGAGCAGGAGCTTCTGTGGCTGGTGCGCACCCCGTGTCTCCATGGATAGAACATTTATCTGGCCCAGCAAGCGCCCCAGCAGCCAAGACTGGGAAGAGCGTGGGCTTCAGGCTAGCATGCAGCTGGAGAGCTCAGTTTAATCTTTAGGCTTTCTTGGCCCCAAACTAGGCCCAGTTTTTTGCAAAACATGGCAAGCTGTGGTCAACAGCCCTTTAAGGAACTGGCTTCTCCCACAGGAAACCTACTGTGGGAGAACCTACACTGTGACAAACTGGAGTCACACTGAGGCTGCAGAGAAGAGGCTGAAAGGACAAAGGAGAAGGGATGAAGGCTCAGTGCAGAGGGGGAGAGTGTCAGGAAAGAAGGCACCTACTTCACTGTCCTGACAGCAGAGTAAAGGGCTCCGAGAGCCCCATCACCTTGCACAGCAAGGACCCAGCAGGGCTGAACCTGACTTTCAGGAAGCTCTTAAAAGAAACCTCTGGGCGAAGGGTCACCTTGTACTCAGTGGCTGCTGTGCTCATGGGAGCAGCTTTCAAGGAGACCACAAACTATGTCCTCTCTGGACCAACGGTTCTAGTTCCAGGCCCAGCCCTTCCCTCCAGTGAAGTGAATATCGGCTCATTCACTCCTCCAGCTGTCTGGTGGGAGCACAGCCCATGGGACATTTGCATCTAGATTACCCCATGGGCAACCTAGCAGAGGCACCCTCTGGTTAAACTCAAGCACTGACCTCTTCAGAGCTGGGTTTCTTCTGAAGTTTCCCACTGTAGTGGAAAGATCAGAGATGTAACTCTCCCATCCCAGTTTCTCACCAGGCAAAGACGGTTCCACTCTCTAGCTCCTAACTTATTTCTTAAGAACCCTGATGCTCCCTGCTGATGTGCAGGGCATCCCTTGACTTTCCAACCCTTCAGGAAACAGAAGTGAACAGTACAATCCCCAGGGCTCGGCACCTCGGTGGCCACTGCTCTGTTTCCCTTAGGTTATTGAGCTGGTTACACATTTCAGTAGCAGAAGCCTTTTAAGTGTACTCTCCGTGTACTTTGAAAATAGCACTGCAGGCTTTCCGAAGAATCCACTCAGCTCTGACATGTCAGTCTCCATTTCTATGTCCACACTTACTCACTGAGAGCCTTCTCGTCCTCATTTACACCAGACACAGTCAAGGGGGCATGGCTGTCAGGTCCCTGTGTGAATCTCCCCCAGAAAACACCAGGGCAAGCACCTGACTGCAAAAGGTGCCACAGCAAGGCTGGGGCATCAGGTTTGGCCAAACGTGCTCTTGGGATGCCCAGACATGGTGCTGGGGGTGGAGGACATCCTCAGCTAGCTGGGCCCCCACATCATCTGCAATCCCCGGGCCCAGCCACAGGGACTGATGGGCACGGGAACTGATGCGCCAAGCCTGGCGACTGCTCCCTTTCAACTGCTTCCTCTTAGCAACTTAACCATCTTCTAAAGGCAGCCTATTGCATTCCTGGTCATCCCTCCCAGCTCCATATTAAATCCATCCCAAGATATATATGCCAAAAAATCCATCTCTTTAGAAAGACACCCAGCATAAGGAAAAAGCTGGAAGTCATCCTTAGAGCAAACGATCTGTCACTCAGACCCATCTTCTTTTGTGCCCAGGTCCCCTCGCACATCTTCCCACCTGGATTCTTGTGCCACCACTAATCTCATCCCTTAGGTCCTGTGAGGGTGTGACCGAACACCAGACAGAGCTCTGCATCCTCCCTGCGGGCCTGGAAGGTGCACGATGTATGTAGTGAGCTGAATTCCAAAGTGCAGAGAAGAATATTACAACCCGGAGCTGCCCAGACATTCAAGTAACTAGATTTGTGAAGAAAGAATGAGGGCCACAGAGGCACATGCTGGGTACCATGGCCACAGGACAACGGCAATTCCTGCTCAGAGCAAATCCAGGGCCCTCTGATTCCTGTGCTGTCAAAGATCCAGCCTGGGAGGTCAGGCCTTCCAAAAGCTAAAAGGGAAGAAGATACACCCTTATGTATGGCAGAAGCACCTTAAATACTTCTCAAAGTTGCATTTGTACAGACAGAGAAGAGTGCCAGTCATATACGTTTTGTCTAATATGATTTCAAACATCAAAAATAGTATTTTCTGCATATTAACTTTAGTTCATTCGTGTATGATAACCAGTTCTGACTGTCTCTAAAAATTAACACCTGTCTTTTCACAGTTCTTTGTCCTATGAAAGAGCAGTGCTCATCAAAACACTGTAAACAGGGCCAAGCATGGTTGTGCACATATGTAATCCTAGCTACTCAGGAGGCAGAGATGGGGAGGATCACAGTTCAAGGCCAACCCAGGCAAAAAAATAAGAGAGACCCCCTCTCAATAAACAAATCAGGCATGGTGGCACAAATCTGTAATCCCATAAGTAGAAGGATCATGGTCCCAGGCTGGCCCAGGCAAAAAAAAAAAAAAAAAAAAAAAAACCATGACACCCTATCCAAAAAATAACTAAAGCATCAAAGGACTGTGGGTGTGACTCAAGTAGTAAAGAATTTGCCTAAAAAGCCTGAGGCCCTGAGTTCAAACTCCAGCACCATCAAAAAAAAATTCCAAGCAACAAGATCTAAAGGACATGTCACTCCCTGAAGTTCCAGACTTGTGCATCCAACTGCACACTCGACCTTCCACACGACAACTAACAGGGACCGCAAGCAACCTCCAAGTTACGCATCTGTTCTTTCACCCAAGACTCACCAGACCCACACCATTCTCCATCTCAGCTAATGGCAACTCCAACCTCTTGGTGCTCTGCTTACAGTCCTTATTTCTCCCCTGAAATTTCAGTCCCACCAGGGATCGTTCCACTCCCAAGCCCACGTGCATACAAACTGCTCCTCAAACCCAGCACCCCACACCCGTCCATGAGCCAAAGTACATCAGGCTCACCAGGGTGTCAGCTGCAGAAGACAGCAGAGCTGACTGACATCCTAAGAGGCCTGGCCTCAAAGAGAACAAATGGGGAACCGCATATGTTCTCCTGATTCTCTGACTCCAGTGAGTACGTCCCCAGTCAAGCCACCCCTCTCCCACTGCATGCACACGGACGGCTGCACAGCACCAGCCTTGGCCTTGGAGCCCCTGTGGCGTGAGCAACAGACGCTCTGTGTCTTGGTCACATACCCACCAGGCCAACCACTTGATATGGAGGTGAGGAAAGGAGACCTTCCTCCGCCATGAATCTACAGCACGCAACATTTTATGATCCCCCACCACAAGGGAAGGATTTTCAACTGGCAAACATTTGTCCAAAATAGCAGAGACAGAACTGTCTAGGTCACCTGAAAAGGACGACTCCTACTCCGTTGCTCCGGGATGCTGTATACGTTGGACTTAGGAGGAAGAGAAGCAGCCTCTGCAATAGAAGAACGAGTGACTAAAGCTGGCGATACATTCCAGCAATTATAACTTACAAAGAAGTGTGTTTTCTTTTGTCACATTCATTTTTATTAGGATATATTCATGTGCAGTGGGGGATTCATAGTGACAATTCCAAATAGGCTCCTATTGTACATTGGTGAGATCACCGCACTCTCTCGCCCCCTCAACCCCCTCCCTGCCCCACTCAAAGCAATAGCAAGAGGCTTCGTTGTTCTGTTTCACACAGATATATGAAGTCCATCAACCATATTCCCTCACCTTAACCTCTTTCATTTACCCTCCCTTCCAATAGTACCCCACCCTGCACCTATTTCACAGTGCTGTCTTTCATTATTAATGTCTAAGTTGATGTTCAAAGGGGTTTCTCAATGAATCCCCACTTTGTGTGTACTTTACACTGGTCTGTTCGACCCCTCCCATTACTCTTCTTTACCCCTTTACCTCCCCCCACCCGTTTTTCCACAGCTTTCCATACACATCCTTACTTCCTCCACCTGCACAGATGTTATGTGTTACGACATTGTTGACGCTCTGTCATTCCCCTTTCCTTTCCCTCCTTCCTCAAGTTCCATAGACCAGTTCCACTGTTTCATGCATGTTCTACATCTGAGTTTGTGTTTGATCATGTTTGTTTTGGCGTATATGAGAAACATGTTTTCTTTTACGTAGTGCTTCTACATAAGATAATCCTTAATCATTGCTGTTGCTTGGATCTGGAGCCCCAGTACTATTCTGAGATGATGGAGTCTTTAAGAGGCAGAGGCTAGGGAGAGGAAGTTAGGTCATGGGGGCGTGTCCCAGATGGGATGTTGGGACTCTGGCCCCTTCCTGTCTCTCTCTTTGCTTCTGGTCACATGAGATGAGCGGCCTTGCTCCATCTCTCACTCCCTGCCATGATGTGTTGCTCTACCACAGGCTCAAAAGCAATGAAGCCAAAATAAATATTTCCTCCTTTTATAATTTTTTATCTCAGGTATTTTGTCACTGTGATGGAAAGCTGAGTAACAAAATCATAAATAATTTTTTATTTCCTTGAGATTACATAATTTTAGAAGTTTATTTTTTGTGTGTGTAATAAAAATATGGAAAACTGACTCAAAACCAATTCCTTTCTTGATACATTAGTCTCTTCAGGAGAGATATTAACTGATAACTTCAAGGAAAATAAACACAGGACACAAGAGGGGGAAAAAGGCAAAGAAGGTTGGTTTGAACCATAATTTGGGCCAAGATATTTGCTTAGTTACTCAAAAAGCTGATTAATAGAGAACCAGAAGGTAAAACAGGTCCTCTCTGTGCAGTGGGTTTCAGTGGGAGGGGGAGAATTTAAGAAAAGGATATAGGAGGGTGAATGTGATGGAAATATTAGGTACTCATACATGAAAATGGAAAAATGAGACCTGTTGAAAACAATTCCAGGAATGGGGGTAGGGAGATAAAGGAGCATGGTGGAGGGATGAATTCAACTATAATATATTGTAAGAACTTTTGTAAATGTCACAAAGTACCCCCAGCACAACAATAAAAAAAAAAGCTGACTAATAAGTACTCACAAGAAATCTTGCAAGAAGTTGTGCTCACATTATCAAGGGAAGCAGTCCTCGCTTTGGGGAATTTTTAAAAACTGCACATACAGTTAGGAATGTACAGGGGAGGCAGCCTAGATCAAATCAAAGACTAGGCCTCTGAAAACAGAGGCCCAAACTTAGCAAAAAGAAAAGGTTTTCAGGCCCCTCAGCAAAGGTTTAATGGCCAAGAATATTCTTCCCTGGAATTTGTTTTGCCAGGCAACTTGCCAGGGAGGGGTCTTCCTTCCAGACTGCTAAGTAATGGTTTGTTCAGACTTCCCCTGTCATTGGCCTTCCAAATCGTACCACTGAGACATGGCCCCAACATGACAATATGACAATGAGACCCTGCAGACAGGCTGTTCAAAATCAACATCTCCAATCCTCATCTGATGGAAGGGGGACAGATTTCTTGGCAAGTTTCAGCTTTACTTGAATCTGGTTCAAGTCTGGAGGAAGGGCCCCAGTAGATTTGAAAGTGGAGGTCTTTAAAGACCTTCCTTGAGAAACCAAGAAATTCAACTTTCGGCTTTCCACCTTGCTTTATTTTAAGCTATAGACGCACAGGTGGGTTTTCCAGTTAAATTTACTTCTACTGATCCTAATTCTAGAGCTTCTCCTATGAATTATCCAAAACTGAATTTCCTCCATGGCTTGCTGCCCTCCTATGAGGCTGGCACCCTGTTAGCCAGTCCGTCTTCCAGCACCTTCCTTCCGACATCTTTCTACCGCCCCATCTGCTACTCACTTGCAGGCTTGGGCTCATCTGGGTGGTATCCATGGTTTTCATTTCCAAGAACGCCTTTGTCTGTCTTCACATTTGCAGATTTCCTAGAATGAGACCATTTTCCAGTCAAATGCTGATGGATGATGGCATCCAGCTTGGCATGGCCACACTGAGGGAATTCTTATGCAGTGGACTCACTACCAGAAGTCCACAGCTCGGGCACTGGCTTCTGTACAGCAGGTGCAGGTGACCTTCATGTTGACACTTTCCCACAATGGGGGAGAGGGACCTTCATGAACTCTGCTCCCCAATTAATAGGAAATGCTCAGAAACCATTAACTAAATCAAGCAGGGCTCTATAAACTATGACCCCTGGGCCACATCCGGCCCACCAGCTGTTCTTATAAATAAAGTTTTATGAGAACACAGCTACCTGCCTGCCTTCATATGGTCCAGGGCTGCTGTTATGTCTCAGCAGCAGAGTTGAGTTGTTGTGACAGAGACCAGACGTTTGGCAAAACCAAAAGTATTTACTACATAGCCTTTCATAGAAAAACCATGGCAACCTTAAAATAAAGCAAAGACTGGTGAAGTTTCTTTGGGAAAGGAAAGTGTGCCATGGATATCTAGAGCTTTAAAATACGGGGGGGGGGGGGGGTGACAGAGACCAGACGTTTGGCAAAACCAAAAGTATTTACTACATAGCCTTTCATAGAAAAACCATGGCAACCTTAAAATAAAGCAAAGACTGGTGAAGTTTCTTGGGGAAAGAAAGTGTGGCCATGGATATCTAGAGCTTTAAAAATACGGGGGGGGGGGGGGGGGGAGGGCGATAAAGGAGAATGACGGAGGGGTGAAGCCAACTATGATATAATGTAAGAATTTTGTCAATGCCCCAACGATGCCCCAACATTCCCCCAGTACAACAATAATATAAAAATAAATAAATAAAAATTTAAAGGTATCAAAAAAAATTTCTTTAGGAAATACTCATGCATATGTGCAAAGATTTCCTCGAGGGAATATTCGCTCATGGTCTATGTGTAATAACAAAAGCACAAACAACCCAGGCAGCCAACGACAAGGGACCGAAAGTAAAGGATGACACACGTGCTAAGGTGCTCTGTGCAAAATCTGTGATGGCTGAGGACTCTGGTCACTGCTGGGGCCATGTTTATAGGAACAGCTTCTCAGGAAAACTGTGGCCACAGTGACAAACTGACGAGACGCTGACCCTGTGGCCCAACTCTCACCACTGGAGGAGAATCCAGACAGGAATAGGGACTCTACTTTTTTTTTTTTGACAGCACTGAATGGGGTTTGAACTCAGAGCCTCATGCTTACTAGGCAGGTGCTCTTACCACTTCAGGCACTCTGCAAGCCCAGGAATGGGGACTTATATTCATCAAAAGGATGCATGAGAAGGCTCAAGGTGGTAGCACTCCATTCATAACAGCCCCCAAATTATCCAGGGCCATGCGTGATGGTGCACACTTGTAATCCCAGCTATGCAGGAGGCATAGATATGAAGGTCATGCCCCAAGGCCAACCCCAGGCAAAAGGAGTGGCACAATCCTGTCTGGAAAATAACTAAAGCAAAAAGGGCTGGAGGTATAGTTGACATGGTAGAGAGCTTGCCTAGCAAGCATAAGGCCCTGAGTTCAAAATTCAATACTGCAAAAAAAAAAAAAAACCTATTCAAACCCCATTTAAAGCAAAAGGGAGAAGCAAATTGCATGCATGCCCAGAGTGGGCATTATATAGTCACAAACCACCTACAGCTGCACAGCACATGTGGATCAGCCTTGCCACGGGAGGCTCGAAGGCCACTTGAATGAGCACTCGTGATACATGTCCATCTCTGTAAAGTGTCTATGAATCAAATCTAAGGATGTGGGAAAAAAATATCAGAAGAATGTCACCTTTGGGGACAAGAGGACAGACAGTGACTTGATGGGGGAGAGTTTTGGGGTGCTGAGGACGTTCTCATTCTAAATTCCGGCGGTCCAGTCCCTGGCACCTGTTCTGTGTCTATCACACCTATGACACACACACCTTACTGTGCATTAAAAACCTTATTGCACAAACAAAAGATGTTACAGACAGCATCTGTTAGCAGAAACAGTCTTCAGGAAGTGTCAAGTGAAAAAAGCAAGCTAGAAAATAATGATAATTGTGGTCATTTTACATGCCTGTGTATGCACACCCATGTGTACATCTGCATGTACATGTAAGTACATAGACCCTAAATAGCAATAATTGCTTCTAGACAATAGAGCTGGGTGGCTGTGCCTCTAGTTCTTACCCCTATTATGTTCAAGTTTTTCAACAATACATGTGCACTGATTCTGTAAGAAGAATATGTACGAAAGATTATTCACCACGACCAAGTAGGCTTCATCCCAGGGATGCAGGGGTGGTTCAACATACGAAAATCAATAAACGTAATAAACCACATTAACAGAAGCAAAGACAAAAACCACTTGATCATCTCAATAGATGCAGAAAAAGCCTTTGATAAGATCCAACACAATTTCATGATAAAAGCTCTAAGAAAACTAGAAATAGAAGGAAATTACCTCACATTATAAAAGCTATATATGACAAACCTACAGCCAGCATTATACTTAACGGAGAAAAATTAAAACCATTCCCTCTAAAATCAGGAACCAGACAAGGATGCCCACTATCTCCACTCCTATTCAACATAGTACTGGAATTCCTAGCCAGAGCAATTAGGCAAGAAGAAGGAATAAAAGGAATACAAATAGGTAAAGAAACTGTCAAAATATCCCTATTTGCAGACACATGATCCTATACCTTAAAGACCCAAAAAACTCTACTCAGAAGCTTCTAGACATCATCAATAGCTATAGCAAGGTAGCAGGATATAAAATCAACATAGAAAAATCATTAGCATTTCTATACACTAACAATGAGCAAACGGAAAAAGAATGTATGAAAACAATTCCATTTACAATAGCCTCAAAAAAATCAAATACCTAGGTAAACCTAACAAAGATGTGAAAGACCTCTACAAGGAAAACTATACACTTCTGAAGAAAGAGATTGAGGAAGACTATAGAAAGTGGAGAGATCTCCCATGCTCATGGATTGGTAGAATCAACATAGTAAAAATGTCATACTCCCAAAAGTAATCTACATGTTTAATGCAATTCCCATCAAAAATTCCAATGACATTCATTAAAGAGATTGAAAAATCTACTGTTAAATTTATATGGAAACACAAGAGGCCACGAATAGCCAAGGCAATACTCAGTCAAAAGAACAATGCAGGAGGTATCACAATACCTGACTTCAAACTATATTACAAAGCAATAACAATAAAAACAGCATGGTACTGGCACAAAAACAGACATGAAGACCAGTGGAACAGAATAGAGGATCCAGATATGAAGCCACACAACTATACAACTTGTCTTTGACAAAGGAGCTAAAAATATACGATGGAGAAATAGCAGCCTCTTCAACAAAAACTGCTGGGAAAACTGGTTAGCAGTCTGCAAAAAACTGAAACTAGATCCATGTATATCACCCTATACCAAGATTAACTCAAAATGGATCAAGGATCTTAATATCAGACCCAAACTCTTAAGTTGATACAGGAAAGAGTAGGAAATACTCTGGAGTTAGTAGGTATAGGTAAGAACTTTCTCAATGAAACCCCAGCAGCACAGCAACTAAGAGATAGCATAGATAAATGGGACCTCATAAAACTAAAAAGCTTCTGTTCATCAAAAGAAATGGTCTCTAAACTGAAGAGAACACCCACAGAGTGGGAGAAAATATTTGCCAACTATACATCAGACAAAGGACTGATAACCAGAATATACAGGGAACTTAAAAAACTAAATTCTCCCAAAACTAATGAACCAATAAAGAAATGGGCAGTGAACTAAACAGAACTTTCTCAAAAGAAGAAATTCAAATGGCCAAAAAACACATGAAAAAATGCTCACCATCTCTAGCAATAAAGGAAATGCAAATTAAAACCACACTAAGATTCCACCTCACCCCTGTTAGAATAGCCATCATCAGCAACACCACCAACAACAGGTGTTGGCGAGGATGCGGGGAAAAAGGAACCCTCTTACACTGTTGGTGGAATGTAGACTAGTACAACCACTCTGGAAAAAAATTTGGAGGCTACTTAAAAAGCTAACATTGATCTACCATTTGATCCAGCAATACCACTCTTGGGATATACCCAAAAGACTGACACAGGTTACTCCAGAGGCACCTGCACACCATGTTTATTGCGGCACTATTCACAATAGCCAAGTTATGGAAACAGCCAAGATGCCCCAGCACTGACGAATGGATTAAGAAAATGTGGTATCTATACACAATGGAATTTTATGCAGCCATGAAGAAGAACGAAATGTTATCATTCGCTGGTAAATGGATGGAATTGGAGAACATCATTCTGAGTGAGGTTAGCCTGGCCCAAAAGACCAAAAATCGTATGTTCTCCCTCATATGTGGACATTAGATCAAGGGCAAACACAACAAGGGATTGGACTTGAGCACATGATAAAAGCGAGAGCACACAAGGGAGGGGTGAGGATAGGTAAGACACCTAAAAAACTAGCTAGCATTTGTTGCCCTTAACGCAGAGAAACTAAAGCAGATACCTTAAAGCAACTGAGGCCAATAGGAAAAGGGGACCAGGAACTAGAGAAAAGGTTAGATCAAGAAGAATTAACCTAGAAGGTAACACCCACGCACAGGAAATCAATGTGAGTCAATGCCCTGTGTAGCTATCCTTATCTCAACCAGCAAAAACCCTTGTTCCTTCCTATTATTGCTTATACTCTCTCTACAACAAAATTAGAGATAAGTGCAAAATAGTTTCTGCTGGGTATTGAGGGAATGGGGGGGAGAGGGAGGGGGCGGGGTTGGTGGTAAGGGAGGGGGTGGAGGCAGGGGGTAGAAATGACCCAAGCCTTGTATGCACATATGAATAATAAAGAAAAAAAAAAAGCTCCAAATAACATAATAAAAACATTCTCTACTTTAAGAAATGATTCTTTATTAAACAATAAGCAATTAACTCATTTTATTTACCTTGTATTGGTGACAAATTTTTAAATAAATGTAATTTTTAAAGTTTAAAAAAAAAAGAAGAAGAATATGTACGGTTATTTTAGTGGGAGTGGGTGGAGTTAACGACGTGGATACACTGTAAGGGAAAAGCAGGTGCACGTGGGAACCAGTGCCCATCTTACCGGAGTGTCAGGGATAGTCTGGTCTAGCACGAGAGCTATACACAGAGGATGGACCTGGCCCTGGAACAGGGCTGCCTGCTGCACATATTCCACCCCTTCTACTGTCCCCAGGAAAAACCCAAGGAGTATGTACGCTCCCTGCATCTCAGCATCCTTCTGTTTATACGCTATGGGTACCAGGTCATTCATTATACCAGGACATACTACGGCTGTGTTATTCTCTGCCATTATCCTAAGCAGCCTTTGATGGCTTTACTGTGCTTTGAAATCCCCAAAGACTCCCAAGAACAAAAACAAAAGAAGTCTATGCAGTTGACAATGATGAGCCAAAAATATCCGGGCTGAGATGGTGCTGCTAACTACGACCAAGACAAACACCAGAGTGATCACTGGGCATTTTCCTTCCTCTTCCCTCACTCAAGCAGACCCCAAAGGATGTATTCTCAGATGGCTGCTTGGTGGTGTCCTCACAACCAGTCACCTCTCTCAGAACCTCATTATCGCCAGGACCAGAGGGAGGACGCACAGCTCCTGTCACTCAGTGATCACACACATTCATTTGTGCACGCTGTGTAGCCAAAAGGTATTTTGCAATCTCAGCCTCATAAAATTTTAAATGATCTAATAAATACTGTAGACTGGATGTGGCTGGGAGGACATCCTCGGCCACACATCTGCCATCTGAGACCCGTCCCTGGAGCATTTGTGAGCACTGCAATGTCTACACCACTGCTGCATTGCTGCAGGAAGTCCTGGATTTAATTACCTTAAAAGTGCTTTCGGCTACTGGCGGGCGGCGTGGGAATGGCAGCAGTTTTTCATTGCCAGCTGCCCAGATGAGGGAACAAGCAGCGAACACCACCTCGTTTGTCTGCCTGAGCAGCACTGGGTGCTTCCCAGGCACCTCTCCAGCTACAACCACATTCTCCACTCCCCAAAACCCAACAGGACCTCTGCTTGTCCCCGCCTTGGCGCCTTGACGCTCCATGTCCCTAGTGAGCCACCGCAAGTCAAAGGAAGGCAGTGCAACCCACTTAGGTTATTCTAAAATTAATGCTCCCCTACGCATTTGTGGTTGACACGTATGCTTTTCAGTACTTAATTTAGGATAACATAAGTCTTAAAATCTCACAGTTTCTGTGTTCTGTTTGGTGAAAAAACTGATGTGGCTTCCAACTTACCTTACTTCATTTTGATAGCTAGATTCTGCAAAAGAGAGAGAGAGAGAGAGAGAGAGAGAATGAAATCCCATTAGAAAAATGAGGATATTAAATTCTAAAAATAAGAGCTCATTGATTTTTATAGACTCTGATTTTAATTGTTTTTTTTTATTTTCATTCATTTTTTTTCTTTATTCATTTATTCACATGTGTGTACATTGTTTGGGCCATTTCTCCCCCCTGGCCCCCTGCCTCACCCTCACCCCCATCCCCTCTCGCTTCCAGGCAGAATCTGTTCTGCCTTTTTCACCAATTTGTTGAAAAGAAGACATAAGCGATAATAAAGACATAGCTTGAGATAAGGGCAGCTATACAGAGAGATTCCTAGCATTGCTTCCATGCACAAGTGTGTTACAACCTGAATTGATTCATCTTTACCTGACCTCTTCACTATTTCCTGGTCACCTTCCCATAGTGACCTCTGTCATTTTAAGGTTACTGTATTAGCTCCTCTGCAGTGGGGACAGCAAACACGATTTCAAGTTTTGGATTTCCTACCTTTCCCTATTCTCCTGTATGTGTTCTCCTCTTAGTGTGTGACTCAAGTCTAAGAATATGACTGCATTTGTTTTAAGTCTAAAGTCTGCATATGAGGGAGAACATATGATTTTTGGTCTTCTGAACCTGGCTAACCTTGCTCAGAGTGATGTTCTTCAGTTCCGTCCATTTATTTGCAAATAAGATTTTATTCTTCTTTCATTAGTATTTTGACCCGATAGGTATTAGCAAGTGGCCCCATGACAGACTATCAAATGGCTTTTAAGCATCAGCAAAGTAGGGTTCACTATTAATGAGCAAAAACCACAAATAAATAGGCAGTAGGTGCTCAGTAAGTACCTAGTGAATACTGAGTTTGATTAGCGAGGTTACCGAGGCTACTGTCACCGCAAAGAGCTCTGTGTTCCCAAGGACAGCTGTTACTGCTTCAGAATTCACCAGGGAGAGGTATCATTTTTTAACAGACCAGGCACTGCTGGTATTACCTAATTTCTTTAATTCTAAGATACATTTTCAAACAAGTTCATATCTACCAATCATCATTTCACATGGAGTCCCACACTCCCCGCAGCAAAACAGCTGCCAATTCATGCACCAGAGGAACTCCAGAATGGGCAGATGTCATAAGCCCCAGACCAGGTCCCCAAAGTCTGTCTCTACAGCCGTGCTCTTACAGCCCCACTTCCCTCACAGGCCATCCATATACTGACGTCTACTGAGACCTAGAAAATATCCATGTCCTTATTTTTTAGGTAATGCGTCCCTTATTTTCAGTTCTAATAACATCTTCTTAGTCACATCTCAAACTGAACCTTAGAAGCAATTTTATGTGAATTGCAAAAGAGACTCAGGTCTCCCTCTGTGGACACCTCCAGAAAGGCAGGGGTAGAGGAGGTGGCGTCAGGTCCCTCTCTCTGCACTGCCATCCCATGACACCCAGACCAGGCTGGGAGGGGTCCTCAACCTCAGTCACTCCTCAATTACCCAGAGGCACACAGAGAATTTTCTAGCACAATATTTTTTAGCCCTGAAATAATCATCATAGGGAAATCTAGAACTGTGCTGATATTTGCATTTATGCTAAAACAGTACTGTTTTCACTGTGAGCCACACCTGGCAGTGTGGGGTGAGCACTGTAGTGGGTCGTGGCAGGACCCCGTTCACAGCCCTTACCTGGACTGCTTACAAATGGGGGTGAGAAACAGCTCACCCTTACCTGGGCTTTTCACCTGAAAGTTACATAAAGGATAAAATCTAGGATGGATCACAGAAATTTTAATATGCTTACTTATTTGATTCTCACAACCATTCTATAAGGTGGTATTCCCATTTTGTAGATAAGAAAAGTAAAAGTCACCCTCTGCCTATCCTGAATGGTCAACAGTCACCAATCAACCTTACTATCTTCTCTTACGGAGCAGACGAGGGCCTCAGGGAAGCAGAAAATCCAAATGGCTAGAACTTATCCAGCTACTCCACAAAGCCAAGGTTAAAAATGCAATCTGGAAGCTATTTCAATGGTTTTCATTTAAAATCCAGTGCATAGAGATGAATCAATTAGTGTTGTAATACACTTGTGCATGGAAGCAATGCTAAGAATCTCTCTGTATAGCTATCCTTATCTCAACTAGCAAAAATGCTTTGTCTTTCTTATTATTGCTTATGTTTTCTCTTCAACAAAATTGGAGAAAAGGGCAGAACAAGTTCTGCCTGGAAGTGAGGGGGGTGGGGGGACAGGGAGGGAACAGGGGGGAGAGACGGCCCAAACAATGTATGCACATATGAATAAATGAATAAAAAAATAAAATAAAATCTTGATACTGGATCTCAGAGAGAATATTTAGAATATTTTTTATGTGACATTAGTATTAGTTTTTGTTTATCTCTAAGACAAACCAATTAACATTGATATGTGTTTGTGAATATGCCTGCAAAAAATATAGCAACTCACTTGATAGGGAACCTTTCATTTCAAGACAAAAGATTATGTGGAAACTGCATCTGCCTGCTCAGAACGCAGTGACAATCTTGTCAGTCTTCCTGGTGCTCAGTAGTCCTCGCCTGACCATCCAGTAATTTCAAGGTGGTACTGGGACTAAGGCAGAGCTCCACTAAATATTGCTCAGTTTGTTCAGGGAGGGTAAACTAAAATGAGTTTCAAAAAAGAGGTTTGTAGGTTTTGTGTGTGTAATTCAATCTCTTTTTCTTCACATTCTCCCAAACCCAAAATAAACAAGTGGAATTCAGCTTCAAAAAATAAATTAATTAAATAAATAAAATAAAATCCACTTGAGTAACCCATCCACGGCACATGGTGTGATTCCAAGATAAACCCAAATTCCCACCTAATCTAGGTCAATAGCAGTTTACTACTTTTTGACTTCCGCTTCCCAGGGAGTAAAGTTGTACCATAGGATGAATTCCCCAAACACAAACCTAATCTACAGAGGAGCTAAGGCTAGACCATGCAATTTAGATAGGATGTCTCACTGAGCGGTAAACCATTAACCCAGGTAGTTAGCATTGAGCCTGGCGCACACACCAAAGGTGCTCATCGGGTGGTAGTCAGTGCTGATGAAATTAAAAATGCAGCTCAACTGACATGTTCCCAAAGAAAAACAATTAACCTGTACACAGTTTTCAAATGGGAGTAGGTGAAAGAAAGAAAAATAACGATAGACATGTATACAGCACTTTGAAAGTTCTGTGTCATCCCGGGACAAAGCATCCTTATTAGGTTGTCAAGCCACAAGTTACCAAGCCCATGTCATCCTGACCCCAAACAAGGCCACTACTTCCACACAGCTCAGACTACCTCAAGAGACTGCTTGCAAAAGAAATGTGCAATTGTTTTTAACTAATTTAATGTGCACCAATTTTTATTAACAAAAGGTCTGTTTTTTCTTTTTTTCTTTTTTTTTTTTTTTGAAACAGGGTCTCACTATATAGGTCAAGTTGACCTCAAACTCTCAATCCTTCTGCCTCAGCCTCCCAAGTGCTGGGATTACAGGCATGTACCACCACACCCAGCTTTTTTCTTTCTTGATGGAAGTGATTCTACCAGGTCTGGTGTGGCATCTCATTGTAGCTGACGTATATTTTGGAAGAGCTGATGAGATCATTAAGTTGAAAAGCACATCCCAAACGTTCAAAACTACATGTAAATTTATATGCAAAAAATTACCTTGTTGGTTTTTCCCGGAGACACAACAGCAGCAGAATATTATAATCAGAACAATTATCAGGATCAAAAGCAATGAAAATGACACTGCAAGCAGAATTATGGCCCAGGTAGGCAGTGCTGCATCTGACCTGTCAATGCTGTCTACAAGGTGGAGAGGAGAAAGAAGTATTTTAGTGATATTGGCACCATCTTGAATCAAGCATTCTGCATTATTCTCAATAATGGAATTTTATGCAGCCATGAAGAAGAACGAAATGTTATCATTCGCTGGTAAATGGATGGAATTGGATAACATCATTCTGAGTGAGGTTAGCCTGGCTCAAAAGACCAAAAATCGTATGTTCTCCCTCATATGTGGACATTAGATCAAGGGCAAACACAACAAGGGGACTGGACTATGAGCACATGATAAAAGCGAGAGCACACAAGGAAGGGGTGAGGATAGGTAAGACACCTAAAAAACTAGCTAGCATTTGTTGCCCTCAACACAGAGAAACTAAAGCAGATACCTTAAAGCAACTGAGGCCAATAGGAAAAGGGGAACAGGTACTAGAGAAAAGGTTAGATCAAAAAGAATTAACCTAGAAGGTAACACCCACACACAGGAAATCAATGTGAGTCAATGCCCTGTATAGCTATCCTTATCTCAACCAGCAAAAACCCTTGTTCCTTCCTATTATTGCTTATACTCTCTCTACAACAAAATTAGAAATAAGGGCAAAATAGTTTCTGCTGGGTATTGAGGGGGGGAGCGGGAGGGGGTGGAGTGGGTGGTAAGGGAGGGGGTGGGGGCAGGGGGGAGAAATAAACCAAGCCTTGTATGCACATATGAATAATAAAAGAAAAATGAAAAAAAAAAATAATAATGTTAGAACTATTCAACCTGCCATAGCTCGGCGTCATAGACACCTTCCCTCATGTGCTTATTCAATCTCTACCATCTCCCATCACGATACTTATTGTTGCCAATAAATAATTGCTTAGTAACTCTGTCCAGTATTAGTTGGTTAACGCCCCTAACATTCCTGAGAGATAAGGCTGGGCCAAAAGACAACTCCCTGGGTTGGCATAGTGACGATCCTGCCCAATTGTCCCTTATTTAGTCAAGAAACCAGCACTATGGACAGACTGGAGAATGACATTTGGTTCCCCCTTCCATGTCCTCTACCCTTTGCAATTCCAGAGCCCAAAGGAAAGCAGGGTGGTACGTAGCTTCCACAGAACCCCCAAAACAGGATGTAATTCTATTACGAGACTTATTCTCATGGCTCTCAGGAGCCACCTTCTTTAACATCTGCTTTCCCCTCTTCTTTTAGCCAGTAGTCATGGGGTTTGGAGAGAGAAAAAAGCAAGGTGAGCCAGAGCACACAGGAAAAAGAAAAGGAAGTAGGGAAAGAAGGAAAGAGAAAAGAGAAGCCATTTTGGTTTTCAGCCTCCATGTCTTACCGCTGGCCAGGAAGTAACCACTGGTTATCTAATTGAAGTTGAAGCTAAAACTATGTACAAAGAAACATCCAGTGCCTTGGCTACCCTGGCCACATTACCAGTCTCCATCACCACACATGCATAACACTTCTATCATGGCGGGAAGCCCTGGTGGGCAGCAGCCAAGCCATTGGTTTGTGGAAAGTACACTAATGCTCCTAAAAAAAAAGCTCTTTTCCAGCATTTCGCTTCTCCCCATAAAACACGCGGAAGCCAAACCACAGCCATTTAAGTTGATCTGCTTAACCATGAATTCAACGAAAGTCTGTTTCTCCACCCTTTTTGCTTGGGTGGTATCTTAATGTGAACACATCAGATGCTAGTCATTACAAAATTTTATGTTCCTTGGAAGGGACAATACCATTTGCCTTGGAATCAATCAGCACTTTGGAACCAGAGGCTATAGTTGAAAATCACTCTCAGATGTTTTTCCTCAGAGTTTGCCTTAAAAACTGACTGTGCAATTGTGATTTGCTAATCCTGTGTTGATGTTAAATGGTCAGAATGAGTGTAGGAGTGGATAGCATCTACAGTCATCAACCACCTGGGTGCTGAGTCAAGGTCAAGTAAGGATTCAACTGCAAAATAACCCATAGACTTGTCTAAAAATAAGTACCGAAATGCAGATTGCTGCTTTGAAGAATTACATAATATAAAAATATATTTCAGACAATTGTCTTTTTACCTACAATGTTTTTTTTTAATTCCCTCCTAAGGAGTTAATAACTGTTAAATTATTTTGGAAGTTTCTTTTTTAACATCGCACATTTATTGTCATCTGAAAGGTCTAGGAGTCAACTATTGTTGCTTCCACTTCTTCTTATATGTCTTCTATTGTCTGTACTGGACTTGGCTCCCTCAAGGTCAAGGGCTGGGTTTATTTTTCTTATACCCTAAGCACCTGAAACATACTAGTCATGACAGAGGAATGGATGATGAGTAGATGAATGGACTGATTAAGAGGCTAAGTTCCCTTCTGCTTCTACATGGGGAAGAGCAGTCTATGCACCATTCATCTGCAGCTGAACCAACCCTGGAACTCACCTTTCTCCCTATATTAAGATGCCCAAAGCAGACTTACAGAATTTTAAGAAACCCAAACTCCTTTCCTAATGTCATCTAAGTCTACTTTGCCCACCATCTTTCTGAGATGAGCTGGAACAGAGATAAGAAAAGGGTTTCCCAAAAAAGCTAATGGAGGGAGGGGAATGGAATGGTACTCTTTCCATACCACAGATTCTCCACCCCAGAACTGGAGCACAGACTCAGCCAGTCCCTGAGAGTGAGCCAAGTTCAGACAGTGAGCGGATCCCCTTGATCCATACGGCAGAACCCCATGTACCGTGTGGAAGGCTCAAAGCCCGTCTCCAGTGATACAGCCAAGGGAGTCTGGAATGGCACCCAGGTGATTTGGATGAAGGTGGTGATGACCCACACTTTGAGGACCCATGATGTATGACCAAAATATAAACACTGCTCAAAAAACCCTGACATTACAGGATGCTCCCATACTGCCCCCTCCCAGCCATGGGATAACAATATGGTTATGTGCAGAACTACAGCGATGACATTCACAATCTGGAGTTGAAAATCAACCACTGTGTGGAAGCTTTGGGCTTGGGGCCACTGTTCACTTGCTGTGTTACCTTTGGCCTCCAGTTTGCTCACCATTAAAAATTCTTGCCCCACCAGGTTCAACACACATATTCAAGATTATCATGGTCACCCTACCTCTAGTTAGATGGATTTGTTTACAAACTAAAGTTTGCAAATATTGCAAGTTTCATGATAAGGGAGCTGACTAGGATTAAACATTAAGGTCTGGCTCAAGATGTAAGAGACAGGCTTAAATTCTCCCTTATATAAGACAACATGCTTGTTGACTGACTCAAACACTCCCTGCCAGTGGCCCTTCCTTCCCCTACTGGGGATAGATATTAAGGTTCCAATCTTTGGTCAACCCAGTCTTGACCTAAAAATCTTTCCTCTAACCTAGCAGGGACAGCCTGCTTTATCCTCAGGAGTGCCTGTTTACAGACGGGAGGCTGCCTTGTGGGGTGGATAACTGAGTCTACAAAAGGACTAGGTGATGGATACTATGGCAGGTTCCAATCTTGTTCCTTAATTCAGCGAAGCCATGCACACCCTCACTCAACAGCCCCCAACTCTGACCAAAATGGAACGGGCATCCGGGGTCACACCACTCGTTCTTTCACTTCGTATTTGCTGTGACCACATCGCACTGGGACTCCATTCTTCCATGGAGTCTCACACCTAGGAGAGCCTTACACTCAAATTTCCATTGGAACCCAGTGTTGTGTATGGGTTCAAAAAGGCACAGGTTAGCAAGTGAGCTGCTGAGGTGAACGTTTCTTACTTGTATAGCAATTTTCAATTTAACATATTGTGTATCTGTCTACACAAATGTGCGTACACACACCCACACCATGGATATTTTTGTTTGGTATTAGGTTAAATTGTTAAATGAGTGCATTTATGGTAGATTAAAAAAATAAGTAATAATAGTCATATACTGAATGATGAAAAATTATGATGGTAGACAGAAATCACAGGGTCTTGCAATGATCTCACCCACAGTCCAGTGTTTTATTTTTAAGACTCATGGACCATGAACCCCCAGTAACCTGCCCCAGGGCTCAGCACAGGAATACCCAGGTTCCCCAACTCCCCTCCTGCAACCCCAGTGTGGAAAAATCCCTCAGATGAATCACGACCCAGGTCTTACACATAATAAATGCATTTTCAGTTAGTCTGGAGATGGGCATGATCCCTTCTTTGCGTGATTTGGTGAGAGGCACTGTGGCTGCAGAGGGCAAGCAATTATCACAAACCCACAAACAATGACTAAGGAAGATTATCTCCAAGTTCAATGCCACTGTCCTCTTCCCTATATTCGTCACACCACTGTGTGCTCCTTAGGGTCAAATTACTGACTTTACTGTGTGCCTTTCCCTGTGTGAAGAAAGGGAGAACTGTATTCCCAGAAAGGGAATTTCTGTATGCTCAGAAAGGAAGGCACAGTTTTTGAAGGGTGCATAGAATTTCTTCTAACCAACTATATTCACACAAAATGTCACCACCAATATTTGCAAAGCATGAGCCTGTGCCAACCCAAGGGGACAGACCTCTGAATCAGTAAAATAAATAATCACTGCTCAGACTCCTGTCCAGTGTGCTCTGGGAAAGGGATCATCTGAAGGGCTTTGGACATTTTTAACCTGCTTGCTACTCCCACCAACAGTGGCCCCATAAGTCAGACGCTGTTATTAGCTCAGCTTCACAGATGACTAAACTGCATTAAGTGACTTACCCAAAGTCACACGCTAGTGAGAGGCAGGTGCCCAGTGTCCAAGTCTGCGTGCATAGTTGCACTTCACGAACTGGGTTAGAAGGTATTGCCTTGTTGATCTGTAGACAAATTTCCCTCAAACCAGTAATTTGGGAAAAATTTTTAAATCTAAATTTCCAGGCTCCCCAATGACCAATTAAATCAGAGCCTCTGGAGAGTGGCCTGAACCTCCATAGCTGCACTCAGACTCCTCCTATGACTGACACACAGCCAGCAGAGAGGACTGCTCTGCTCCTCTCCTGCCCAGTTAATAGGTGAGAAGACTGAGCCCTGAAGGGTAGTGACATGCACACAGTCACATCACTAGTGCTAGAGAGAGAGCCCAGGATGTCTCTATCCCTGGATTTGCCACTGCTCACAAAAGTGCACTATAACCTGGAATCACTACACCCTACAAAGTGCTCATGGGTCCCAGAAGTCCAATTTCATGTCCATCACTGCACACCCTAAACACAAGAGCACAAAGGAAACCAGTCAGAAGACAGATGGCATCGATGGACACTGGACTTCAGCTCTCCAGCTTTATGGACATCCGCCATACTCAACACTCTAAGTTTGCATGAATTCTTAATGGATTTTCTAAAGGCAGCTCCAAAGACAAACATTAGCCTTTCACCATCTTTTATCCAAAGGAGCCTTTCCATCTAAAAACCAATACAGACATCTGGGGATTGACCCTATGAGGCTTCCTATTCTCACTTCAGAAATGAAAACAAATTCCTTGCACTCTTAGGAAGTGGGTAACAGGACTGATGCTCACCAGATCCCTGAGGAAGCCTGACTACCTCGTGGCTCTCTGTGAACTTGACTGTGCACCCTCAGGCCTCTAGTCACAGGCCCCTCAGCCAGCTCCACCAGCCAGGGCCAAAGTAAGGTCTGCAGCTGATAAAACTTGCATAAAACACGCAACACGCAGCAGCCACCAGCTGCCTGGGATCTTGATGAATAATTCAAAAACGAATTACCCTTTTCCAAATGAGTCCAATAAAGCAAGACTCATTGCAGCCCACCCGTCGAGCCTTCCTTCCCAGCCCTCCAGCCTCCAGCTGCCATAATTAAGGCGCTGGTCCTAGTCTAGGAAGAATTCCACTGAGTTGAACCTGATCAGGGGAGATTAAATGCCCCTTCCCTCGCCCTTCTTCTGCAGAACTCAAAATTTGCAGGCAAGCTAACCCCTAGAATCTATTTCTATAGGGTACATTGATCAAGCCAGAGCTCTTTGCTGCACTATTACCTTATTAAAATTTGTGCTTAAAACAGTCCATTTTATTTCTTTTGGTGCTAATGGATTTTTTTTTCAGTCTTCCCTTTCAAAGCCTGGACCAGACTTTATCATATTTAAGTAGCATAAAGGCAAGCTGGGTTGTCTCCTTGGAGAAATGGCTGATTACCAGGATGGGACTGGGGCAGTGCAAAGTGAGCTTGCAATGTCTTACTTAAGACAAGTGTTTACAACTAAGAGGAAAATGTCAAAGGACATCTGAGCCAGCCTGTAGGGACTCCTGCTGCCAACACTGGACCAAGCTGACTCTCGAACAGAATAACAACAGTAAGGGATCATAATAGACTGAACAAGAATGAGTCTATCCTAAGACTATAAGAGAGAGGGGGGAGAAGGACCAGGAGGATGCAGAGAAAGTCTAATGGAAACTCTCTTTTTTACAAAACCACACTAGCTACTAAATTTACAAAGAATGATTACAACCACCACAGAAATAATAGGTTCAGGTAATGACTAAATGATGAGTGAAAAAGTTACTGGCTGAAGGAAACAGGATTTCCCATACTGTCCACGGGCTAGATCATAATTATAAAAGCAAAAACATACCTTTACAGTGGAGAAATTGCAGGGGAGGAGGATGTCACTTAACAGATCACCACACTACCAATGACGGAAGAAAATGTCATCATTTACCCACATGGCATGACCTACATCTTAGCCTAAATCAAAGCATATTGACAAAATTCAGACAAATGCAAACTGAGGAACACCTTTAAGAAATGAACTGGACCCTTCAGAAATGTTCAAATCGTTGTTGAAGATTTTGAAAGACAAAAAATGGTGGGAACCATTCAAACTTCCAGGAGACTAAAGACTAAACAGCCAAAGACACTACTAGTTTGGAGACAAATAGCTATAAAGGACATTGGTAGGGAAGTTGGAGAGATCTGGCTATGAGCTATGTTGACATGATAGTATCATGTCAATGTTAAATTTCCTGATTGCCCACTAGATTGGGGTTACGTGGAAAAATGGTCAGTTCTTATGACAGACGCACCAAGGTGCCACACAGCCTCCAAATAATTCTCAAATGTTCCAGGGAGAGAAATGCTAAGGGAAAGAGACAGGGAGAGGCAGGCCTGATAACAACGCAAACACCCCAGGCAGGTAGGTGAAGGAAGGCACCCTGTCTCCCTCTGCACTGTTCTCACATGTTTTGTAAGGTTTGTCATTGCTCAGAAAAAGCTGGAGAAAGAAAAGCGATTCAGGAGTAAATTCTAGCTCCTCTTCATGCACAGGCTTCACAGGAATTTCATGAGCTGTAATAACTGAGTGTGGACTTAAAAAAGCAAAGACTTCTGGTCCTTACCTCGAAAGGCTAATTCATCAGAACCAGGACTGAGTGTCCCTGGAATAGCTGACTTCCAGGACTGCCCCTCTCATCTATGGTCCCTACACATTGGCAGAACACAGGCAGCACTGTCCGTCACCTCGCCTTACAATAGGGGCAGCAGTACAATTCTTATGGCTGTCATGGAGGTTAATTTGGTTAATATTTGAAAAGAGCTAAGTACAGAACTTGGAACTTGACAAGTGCTAGCTAGTGCTGTTTATTACTATTGCCACTACTAACTACCCTTCTTACTACCTCTAAGTACTAGTAACTAATAGTTACTATTAGTACTGCTATTTCCAGTACTAATTTTGTTTTGGCCACAGTTTGTTGTGAACTTTGAAAGACCTCAACTCATGGTATTTTCATAGTGGGAAAAATATGAACCAAGAGTGTAGCTTCTAGGCTCCACTCTGCCCCATCCAGCTATTTGACCTTGATCAAAGTAAGACTCTTGTCTCCAGGCCCCCTACCTCTCTTGTGAGATGAAGGTGCTAAGGTAAGTCTACATGGCTGGGGGTGTGGCTCAGAGGTAGAGCACTTGCCTAGCATGCATGAGGCTTTGGGTTCAATCCCCAGCTCCAAAGAAGATCAGGGGAGAATGGGGGAGGGGAGAGGAGAGAAGAGAAAGAGAAAGGGAAAGGGAAAGGGAAAGGGAAAGGGAAAGGGAAAGACAAAGGGAAAGGAAAAGGGAAAGGGAAAGACAAAGGGAAAGGGAAAGGGAAAGACAAAGGGAAAGGGAAAGAGAAAGAGAAAGGGAAAGGGAAAGGGAAAGGGAAAGGGAAAGGGAAAGACAAAGGGAAAGGGAAAGACAAAGGGAAAGGGAAAGAGAAAGGGAAAGGGAAAGGGAAAGGGAAAGACAAAGGGAAAGGAAAAGGGAAAGGGAAAGACAAAGGGAAAGGGAAAGACAAAGGGAAAGGGAAAGGGAAAGGGAAAGAGAAAGAGAAAGGGAAAGGGAAAGGGAAAGGGAAAGGGAAAGGGAAAGGGAAAGAGATCTCCAGGCCTGAGCACACCCATCCTCCCCTGCACCTCCTGCTCACAGGCCCTGAGGGTCCCGTCAAAGCAGGTGGCTAGAGTTCTGCTATGTCAAGGACCTGAGTGAAGATCCCTCTGGATCGAAGATTAGTATTGACCAAGCTAAGCAATACCCAGAGACTTGGTATTTTCAAATACTTTGGGGACTTGCTGGGTGAAAATGAAACATCCTTAGTGTCCCCAGAGGAACTTGAATACCCTCCCCACATTTTAGAATTTGCTTCTTGTCTGCCCGGGGTCCAAACTGGAATGGTGTCAAGAAGAAGTTCCAGAGAAAAACTTAATTCAAGTATTTGTTTCTGAACATGATGTTCTCTTGTGATCGATAATGGCAAGACTTCTAAATGAATCTCCTGTGTAATTGGGAAAAAGAAAAACTCTTGGAGATGGATGATAAAAGCAGATGAGATCACAGAATCATTAAACCACAGCACCCATCACTGCCCTCATTGCCATCCCCTGAGGTCAAGGTCACCACGCGATTTCACAGGTATTATTGATGAAGTAGCATGACACAGGAAAACAAGCTTCCTATCATGCAGAAAGTCTTCACTTACCGGGCAGATGCTGGACCACAGTCAGGTTCACAGTCACAGACGTGCTGGCCTGCAGGCTCCGTAGGTCAGCCACACAAGTCAGCGTCCCATTGCCCTGTGGTGTGAGTGTCAGGACGCTCACTGCACTGTGACCATCACCAGGCTCCAGAGAGGAAAAATAGCCAGAATGGCTGACTGGGACATCAACCGTCCAGGTAATATCTGGGAGCGGGGTCCAGCCCAGTGCTTGGCAAGTAACATTACAGGGTTCATCCTCAATGACTAGGAGGCTGTCACTGGGGATGTGCAGTGTTCCCATAACTGAAGGGGAAAGAGAGAAACAGGCAGAGGAATGAAAGCACCCAGGTTCTTTTTCCAGTTTTTGCTGCAAATCACATTCATGACATTTTCTTTCCAAGCCCCCAAAAGGCTGTGTCTGTCCCAGGAAACCTCAATCAGGTTTGATCCCTGTCTTTTGTATACTTGCCAGTTTCTTCAAAGGAGGTGAAGTTAGTCACAAGAAAATAAGTAACAGCAGGGAACATGAATAAATAAAAATCAAGAACTAAGAAAAATAATCAATAAAGTGGAGCTACAAAATTGTCCTGGGCTGTTCTAGAAGCAAAAGCAAAAAGGGAAAGAATCTATTTTTTTCAGGGTAAGGAGGATATACTTCAGAGCCTCATGGGAACCAAGTCTCTCCTGGAGTTTGTGTCAGTCACATTTGTTTTATTTATTTGGGGAGGGGGGAGTCACAAATTTTTAAACATAACTTTCTTTGCAATTACCTTGAAAATGTTTCCAATTATAAATTAAATCAAATTTTCAAAGAATCAAAATTGAATCTAATATAATAACAAAAACAATTAATCTAAACCATATATCTGAATCATTAACTCAGAGGAATTCTTTTTAAACTTTAGTTAGGAACTCCCTTGTCTCTGCCAGCATTCACATTGTAAATAACTCTTAGAAAAATGATACTTTTTTGTCAAATTACTAAAATAACCTGAGGATTAGCCCCAGCAAAGACACAGCCTTGGTGAAATATTCAAATATGCATAAATGTTCAAATTAAAACATGTGACAACCCAAACCCCACCTTCACAATACAATGGAAAAGAACACTGGACTGAGAACCAAAAGCTCTGCTCTGACCCTGGATGTGCCATCACCATGGGAAAGCGGCTGAACTGAGTGTTGTCCATTTTCTATCTGTTGATGGGATAATTTGACCAGAGCAGTCGTTCACAAACATTTTGATCATAGTATCTTTTATATTCTACAAAATCACCAAGGACTCCAAAGACCTTTCCTTTATGTGGGTCATCTCTAAATACAAGATTTTAAAATATTTCTTTTAAAATAGCAATAATAACTCATTACATATTGATATAAATTAGCATGCTTTCATTAAAAAGAATTGTACCTTAAAATAAAAAAAAACAGGAGAGTGACACTTTGGACCCTATGAAGTCCATTGGCTCTTCATTCAGTCTACTGTAATAGATTACTTTGTTTGAAGGATGTAAAAAAAATAAAAATTAAAAAAAGGAAGAAATCGGACTTCATAAGGAATGTAGTTGCAATCATGTCAGAGTAGTTAATAACCTTAGGTAATCCTGAATACTCTTTGATACTATAGCAAAGCTGAACTAACATGGTTTCTTAAAGGTCAGCTGGGATGTAGATCTGAAACTCCACCAAGGAACTTTGATTCGCTACATCACACTCCATTGCTGCATCTGCACTTCGCTAATCTCTTACCTAACCCTGATTCCTCACCATTATACTTAAGAAAAATGCTGGTCAACTGAGTCATGTGGCCCTTCCCGAGTGTGGTGGAAAACTCCCCTTGGCACTCCTCAGAATGAAAATTAAAAGGGTAACCACTGTCTTAGCATCATTATGAGAACCGATGCTAAGGGTTTGCCCAGGAGTGCCAGACCACACGGAACCAGACCAGCTCTGCAAGATCTTTATAATCTGATGCTAGATCCCATTATTCTTTTCCTGAATATTTTCTTGGGATGCATTGCTAATCCAAGCACTCTGGTAAATACAACAATGAGTGGGAAAGGGATTTTCCCCTTAAGTCTAAAGGAGTTTGGTTTGGTCCTTTGTTTATTCATTGTTTTGTTTCGTTTTACAGAGAAGGGGTCTACAATGAAGGACACTGGGAGGAGTGGTATTGCCTCAGATTATAACAGAGGATCTTGAACTTAGGTCCTTGTGTTCCTGGAAACACAAGAGGTCTAGAGTGTGACCTGTGATTAATTGGTAAACTGGCATTAAATAGATCAACACAGCAACCTGAAGCATTTTCTTTTCCAATATACAATTGGGATTCAACTTTTCCCTGCTGGCTTTCATAAAGGTTATCCAGTAGTGTGAGAGGCATGCTACACAAATGTGTTCCCATAAATTTCAGATGACTCACGTCAGAGTTATATCAGCTGTCTGTATTTTCCTCACTGATACATGAGGAGGAAATAAATACTCATTGAGTAATTCATGGGTGTTTCCTTTTTCTTCAAGGTTCTTTTTTCCTTGAGAGAGACCATGTTGCTCACAGAACATTCGTTTCTATAACAATTCAGCTTAGTGGAATCAGAGTAACATGACTGAGTTTTGTCCCAGCTCTATGGGTTCCTTCTCCATGAGCTTGGAGAATGCTCTAACATCCCTAGACACTTCCTCTTCCATCTTTATTAAAACCAAAATATCTTAGAGATATTCAGACAAATTTGTAGAGTTATAGTTTTAGAAAAAGATGCTTCAGAGCCACATGGACTTACAAATTTGATGTGCCATGTGTATAGCAATAAAAAGCCATGCCTTTCATCCTCTGTTACTTTGGTCCAGGAGTGCCCTCCTTCTCCCCCTCTTCCCCATTTTGCCTGCCATCTGCTGACCTAAGAAGCACTTCTAGAATGGTCCCTTGTCTATGGAGAACTGCCCCAATGGCACCTGAGTTTGTCTCCATCCCTTGCATTCTCCAGCATCTGTGTTGCACCCTTATCATTCAGCAATGTGTGATACCCACCCTCTCTGTTGGCTCTTGAGGACAAGATCTGGGCTCCTTCTCTCTCCATCTTTGAGTTTCACTAAATGCCTAGCACAATGGCTTTTTTTGGGAATGCAGTAAGTAATAGCCAGTGATCCCAGAGAACGTGCTATAAGCCATGCACTGTGCTAAAGGCTTCACATAGAGCTAGCTAGTCATTTGGTGCCACAACAACCCTAGGATGAGGGGACCAGGACACAAGGTCCCTTAGTCCTGTGCACAAAGACACACCATTTGTAACAAAGCTGGGGCATGAGCCAGGTGACTGGGCTCCCAAGTCTGCACTGCCTAATCTGCACCATTCTGGCTCCCTGACTTGACATGCAACAAACTGGACAGGTTTTTGGAGTCTTGAAACTATTCCCAGTCATTTCTCACCTGGTCCTCACAGCAAACCTGTAAAGTGAGCAAGGGAAGCTACTCTCCATTTTAAGGTTGAGGAAATTGAGCTGTCTCGGGGATGTCTCTGGCTTTGCATGTTTGATTCTTTTTCCTGTGTTCTTTCCCATTTACCCAAATTGTCATCACCATAATAGTTCATGCAAACTAGCCAGTAATCCTAGAAAGCCTTATAAAAATACTTATTTCAACAACACTGTGCCCGTAATTAAACCACACAAAATTAAAGATACCCAAAAGCAAAGACCCACCAATTTACCTATGTTTTTGAAGTAAAAAATAATTTTTAAATGCAAATGGAAATAGATTAGACATGTTTTTCCACCAAAAGTTATCAAAGTTGATTTGACAGCAACAGAAATGCAGAAAAAAAAAATCTTTGGAAATTTCTCTGAGGCAAGCAAAGAAAGAGGTTTAAGAAATAATTTCAAAGACATGGTGTGGTCTTTGGTGAGAAATGCTGTCATAAAAATCCGGACTCTATTCATCCCAGTGCCTCTATAAACACTGTATAAATACCCTATTAAAAACTGCAAGGTGATCAAATTTTGATAAGAACATTCCAGATCCTGACCAGGCTCGGAGGCTCACATCTGTAATCCCAGCTACTCAGGAGACCGAGATTGGAAGCATTGCAATTTGAGGCCAGCCTGAGGGGAAAAAACAAGATTCCACCTCTATCAACAAGTCAGGCAGGTCACAGGCCTGTTGCAAGGGGCATTTGTAGGAAGATCAAGGTCTGAGGCTGGGCCTGGGACAAGAATGCAAAACCCTCTCTGAGAAATAACTAAAGCAAAGAGGGCTGCAGGCATGGCTCAAGCAGTAGAGTGCCTGCCTAGCCAAGTGTGAGGTCCTGAGTTCAAACCCCAGTACTGCCCTTCCCCAAAATATTCTAGGTTCTTGTAAAAGCATCCTTTTACTTTTTTTTTTTTGCTATGAAACACGATCTTCAGAACCTCAAAATTACCTTTAAGAATGAAAATTTTCCAAAAGAAAAAAAAGAATGAAAAATAAGTTATCAAGTATTTAGTTTTGGTTTTTCCCTTTTCTGGTGTACTGTTCCCAAAGGTGTACTTTTGATTATTAACACTTTGGTTTGGGACAAGGTAGAAAGAGATTAGAAAAATCACCTAAGAAGACAAAAAAGTAAAACATATTTCAAAGTTGAAAATTAAAATAGGTGAAGAAGGATTACCAAGTGTATGAAAAACTAGAGACTGTCAACTGCCTTCAAAGAAAAGTGATGCAATAGGACCTGAAGGATTTCCAGGATGTATTTCCAGAAAGTCTGTTAGAGCCTAGAGTCCATTAGAAGGCAAGTGTAAAACCCATTTCTAAGAGAAAGAAATAAGGAAAGGAAAGACAGAATGAGAAAGGAAAGGAGAAAGGGAGATGTAAGCTGAAGACTAGACTGTATATAGAAGAAGGGAAGGGATGAGGAAGAGCGAGGGAGGGGATGATCTAATTGAGATATATTGTAAGCACATATGTAAATGTCAAAATGTATCCCCCATACAATTATTATTTGCTAATAAAAATATTAAAAGAAAAGGAAGGGAGGGGAGGGAATAAATGCACACGCATTAGATTACAAGCGTGACTCCTGGGCGCAGACCGCAGCTCATCACGCAGTCATGGACTTCAGAAGTTCCTTTCCTCCCGGCGCTCTGATGGTGCCAGCGGCTCCTCTGTGCACTCACCTTGGACGGAAAGGTAGGCAGATCTGGTCAGGTCGCTGTTCTGCAGGCTGCATATAATCAGCCCCTCGTCGCTGAGCTGCACGTCGTGAATAAGCATCTCAGAGACAAAGTTGCCATCCAGGTCATAGCTCTCGGCGGTGAAGCGGTTGTTGGTGACAATGGACTCTTGGGGTGTGACGCTCAGGACCACGATGTCCTTAAGAGTCCACATAATGAGCTTCCAGCCTGGGGACACCGTGCAGTTGAAGCGGGCCTCTGAGCCTTGAAGGACCGTTGCATTCTTGGGACCGTCTATGATTTGATAACTGGATCCAGAAGCTAGAAGACAACCGGTTTTCATGGTGGTGAATGAAAATCTGTAGAAGTTAACTGTGTAGTTTAACCCTCCTGGGTCTACCACAGTGACCCCCTGGGAGTCCATTGACGGCTCAGCCTCCAGGTCTTACTGGTTCTTACACCACACCGGGGCTCCCCCAGTAAACCAGGGGCTGCCAGTGGGCACAAGACCACTGTCAGACCCCCCTTTCCACTCTCCTCCCCTAGCAGGGTGGCACTGGCTTAACTACTACTCCCCTAAAGTTCACAGTCACCAGATCCTCAGAAGGTGACCTCTAAGAATAGTATTTGCATGTGGAATTAGTGAAGGACCTCAAGATTCAGTGAACCCGGATGTAGGATGGGCACTAAACCCAAGCCTGGCTACCCTGTAAGAGAAAAGCAGAGGGGATCTGAGCCACAGATGCTCACAGAGAAGAGCACCATGAGCAGATGGGGGCAGAGATTACGCTGATGCACCTACATGCCCAGGAATGCCAAGGCTTGCCAGCAACACCAGAAGCCAAGAGAATAGCACCACTTCTACCAGCAATAGCCAGGACTTGCTGTCACAGTGGTGGAGCTGTGTTTGGGACTTTCCACTCTGAATTCCAGGTTCTTTCCCTACTGATTTCACTCAGAAGATGCCCTAGAACATGGCTTGCCTTGGCTTCCTCTCAGCCACCCTGTCAATCAAGGCACTCCTATTCCCTTTTGGGGTTGTCTGATCTCAGTAAGCCACCAGGTAGCCCACACTGGGTATCCCCAAGTAACAAACTTCCCCTCTTTCCTTCTGACCGTGTGAGGTCAGGTGCAAGGAAGGTTCTCAAAGAATCTCAGTGTAGTCCTAAACGTCCCTGGGGAAAAGTCACCCTGAGAGACACATAACAAAGCTTTAGCACCTCACTGAGCACCCAGAATACACTGCAGGAGCAAGTCCAGAAAGAAGGAACAGCCACTGTTCACTGACAGGAAGGAATGCCAGTGACCCCAAGGGAAGTCACACTGGCCACTGTGCCAACTGGGCTCCTCCCCTGACCCCTGAGTTACATTTTTTAAAAAAGGGTCCAGTATACACCCTAAGGGGACGATAAGCCAAGCCTACATCCCACACGGGAAGAAGGGTGAAGGTGATGGAAGTGTGAGCCCAGCAGGTCCAGCTGGGAGAACACGGGGGTGAGACCCACTGGCCCCCAGGAACCTAGGCAGCTCCAACAGAGGTGGAAACCTGTTTGGAAACAACTTCTCCTCCCCATGGTCATGACCTTGAGTGACTGCTGAGATCATTTCCCTTCCAAAGCCTGTCCTTAAATACCCACAAACTGCCCATGTGACCAAGCAGCCGTGGGACACTAGCAGGCCACAGCCTTACTCTGCAGCTGTAAGGAGGCAGGCCGGCGCGAGGGCTGTGCTGGAGGGAGGCTCTTTGACTTTAAGTTGACCTTTAAATGAAGAGAAAGCACAGGATCCTGAGCGCCAAGTTCCCTGACAGTTGTGTCACCTGCAGTCCCCTCTAGAGCCCTGAGTGACCTACCCTGGACCTCCCTGTCTGACTCAGAAGCTGTTCTGGTGAGTCTTTGGTGTCCCACCCTCCTTTCTCAGTGTCTTATCAGTGGGGACTCTTGAGTGACTGCCTGACATAAAACAAGTATGAGAAAATCATAACTAGGAACTTCAAGCAGCCACACCCCTCAGCTCCGATCCCCTTCCCTCAGAGCTGCCTTTTTCTGTAGAAGAGAGGTGCAAATTGGAATGAACAGTGGTGGAGCTCGTGTCTCCCCAGCCCAGAAGTCCCCCTCACCCAACACCATGGCAGAGGTCCCAGCTCCTGCTGTCTGCAAGATTCCTCCTTGAAATACTCTCATTCACACCACCCCTCCAACTCTTGAATCCCCACCTTCAGCCGTACCTCTTGCTCCTCTCCTCCCTACCAGGGGTCTCAGCTGACTGGCTGCCACCAAGGCTGACAAGTCCCTTTCTTCCACCCTGACATCCTCACAGCTTAAGTCACTCCTACGACACCGTGCTCACCAGCCTGTTGATGGTCCTTCAAAAACTGACCCCAATCCGAACACCATCCTTTTCTTGGCTGCCTAGATAACAGTTGGTGGTCTCCCTGTCATCAGGGACTTGAGGGTACACACCAAACCCCCTTCATTGTCCCACACTCCTCTTTTCCTTGCTCTGCCTGCAGACCCCACACGTTCTCTCCTCTCTCTCTTTCTTTCTCTCTCTCTCTCTCTCTCTCTCTCTCTCTCACAAACTTTTTTTTGTTTTTTGGCAATACTTGGATTTGAACTAGGCCTCACACTTGCTAGGCAGACACTCTACCACTTAAGGCACTCCACCAGCCCTTTTTTGTGATGGGTATTTTCAAGATAGGGTCTTGCCAATTATTTGCCTGGGCTGACTTCTAACTACCATCCTCCTGATCTCTGCCTCCTGAGTAGCTAGGATTATAGGAGTTAGACACCGGAGCCCAGATCTCACTTAAACTTTGTAGTGAACAGAAAAGCAGAGCTGGAGGTGTGGGTTACAAGTCAGGAGTAAAGAACATAAAGCAGAGGCAGAGAGAAGTGTTTTGATGATGAAGCTTCGGAAGGAGAAGGTGGGAATCAAAACACATCAGATGTTGGGAGCCACAGCAGAAAAGTGAGACATGAGGGAGGTGATCTCAGGGCAGGGTGAGAGCTGCCTGCCTAATTCCTGGGATTATGACAAGAAGAGCCAGTGACACTGCTGGGCCACCAGCCCCATCCAAATGCTCTCCAGTCTCCAGCCACAGGGAACGTCTCAAAGCATGTCTGATCCAGTACCTCTCCACCTCCACACTGCAGTACTTAAAGATTCCTATCGTTTAGGATCAGATAGTCTTTAATACTTTCATCTTTTAAGAGGAGTTCAGCCCACATCAACTTTCTCTCCAGCTTATATTTGCTCCAACTCCACCCTCAGGCTCCTGGACCTACTTTAGTTATCAAATTCATCAATTCATTGTAGCCCAAGGGCCTTTGCACAGGCAGTGAGCACCCTGGACTGCCAGTCTCCATCCTCAGCTCCTGGTCCCGTGTCTCCTCCTTGGGGATTCCTTCCCAGACCACCCTACTTGGGCTCTAAAACAGTGGTGTTTCTTTGAGGCAATTGTCGCAGTGGTGTTTTGTGCTGATTTTTGGTCTAAAGTAAGGCCGTTTCCATGCTAGGTTCTAAGCTGTGGTCACAGAACTGTGCTTGCTTTGCTCAGCCCTGCATCCCATGCCTCAGCCAAGTGGCACAGAGCAAGCACTCAGTGAATGTTTACTGAGTGAACAAATAAGGCGTGATGTCACCATCATGGTCAAGGTGGACAGGAGAGGAGAAGTCTGAGAAGAGCCCTGGGAACATCGTGGATGGCTCTGCCCACAGACTCTTGTATGAAGCATCCGAGGGGCTCAGTATCCACTACAGATTTACAAATTTGTTCATCATTGCAAATTTAGGCATGGACCCCACCTCCCTGTGTACTCTAGAATTAGCCCATATACTCTTGCCCTGCCAGAAGAGTCATATCCAAGCCTCAAAGGCTCAGCTTCACCAGGCAGAAAAATTCTCTCAGCAAATCCCAACCCAGAGTTCACCAAACTCTTACTCTTACCAAACCTCTGGAAGAGATTTTCACAATCATGGCTGAAATGGGCCTGTAGGGTGCTGTGTCCCTAAAATCTGCATTGGAGGGTGAGGTGGCTTGTTAACTCCAAGCTCAGTCCCTAAGCTCTTCCTTCCCAGGGACCTTGTTTCCACTCCACGCTACAGATGTGTAACCAGCCCTTCTAAATGCTTCGTGCTGTGTCCTTTTAGGCAGCGGGGAGGAGCGCTCTGAACACCTTGGCTCCCAAATACCTTTTAACACCACAGTCATGTGTTCCTGGACTGCAGGTGTAAGTACACCCAAACTCAAATCGCACCAAACGGTCCACCCTGCAAGCAGCACGCTCTGACATTCTCTTTTCTATTCTACCCCATTTCATTTTTCTCAACGCTGTCATGAACAGGCTTTGAAACACAAAGGCTGCCATCCAGAACAGAGGTACAGAGAGCAGGGCTGTCTGTGCAGTTAACAGTAGCATAGCGGGTCACTTTGAAGGGAGGGAGAGGAGGGTCAGACAGGGAGCTGTTCCTGGGATGCTCTTGTCTCCATCTTGGTCACACAGATGGCTGGGTTTGTGGAAGGTCACCTCGGTGGATTGCGCACAGGCCTTCGAGTCACTACCATAACAGGATCCAGCAGGGAAAAGCAGATTAAACTAGCAGCTGATGCACAGGACCCCAGTCTCTCCATGTCATCCTGTATAGCTGAGTAGGACCCAGAGGGAGACACAGGCCTCAGATGCTCATGAGTCCACCATACCCGACGCCCTGGGTGTGCTCACCAATGATGATGAGTCCTGAGTATCACTCACAGTGGGCCTCACTCTTGATATGTGAGACCTGGGAACCCCATGATACTGGGCTGGGGGAATTAGGAAGGCTTCCTAGGGGAGTAAAGCCAAACAGAGTGAAGAGGGGAAAAGCAGGTGGGAGAGATATTCAATAGGTGGGACAACTGTGGGAGGTACTGAGGCAACCCTGCCCCCTCCGTGGAGGCCTGATGAGGACGAGGTTGGCATCAGAGGCCTCCTGTACTGGAGCCACAGCAGGACTTGAATCCCTGGGGGGTGGCAGGAATAGCACTGCTGCAGATGACTATGGACACCTGCCACGCCAGTCGTCCTACCTGCCAGCCCAATCAGGACAACCAGCATGGCTAGGATGCCTCTCCAGCTGCCCTCCATCTCTGCATGATCTTCCTCACCTGGAAGAGAAAGCAGGCAGGTGACAACCAGGACTGAGGGACATCTGCCACTGAGGTGTCCTGGGCAGATAGGCTGTCTGCAGGGCAGTGGCAGCCTCACCTGGAACCATGGCAGAAAGGCACATCTTGGGCCTCCCCACGCCCACTGGATCAGTCAGCATTTCTGGGGGATGGGTGTGGCTCCAGTCACTGTGTTCACACAAGCCCGGGGTCTCTGGTGCAGCTAGATTCTGAGGATCTTTTTAAGAAACGACCTGACCCTGAGGCCACTGTAGATGGTGGGACACAGAAGATACACCCTGAACTCTGAACTGCTGGCCGTGACACATGGGTCTCATTTCCATCACCAGGAATACACCACCCACAATGGGCTTACATCCTCACAGGGGCAGAGGACAGCAAGAATACGTGGGTTATAGAGCCCAGCCAAGGGTGGCAGGAGGTGACGAGAGCAGCAGAACCAGGAGGGCATGTGTGCAAGGTGTGCTGGCCATCACTTGAAGCAGGTGGTCAGGGACAGACCTCTGAAGAGAATGAGATGAGTTGACAGCCATGCGCACATCTACAGAAAGAGCTTTCCCAGCCAAGGAAATGGCAGGTGCAAGGGCCCTTGGGTGGGACGATGCCAGCCATGTTTGAGGAACTGCAGAGAGGCCCTGTGGCAGAGGGAAGGGGCAGGGAAAGGGTAAGGTTACAGATAGGGAGGTTGGAATAGAGGAGTAAGGCCTGGCCAGAACTTGACAGCACTGAGGTTTTCTGTCCTATACAAACCTCCATACTCTTTGTAACCACCCCCTTCTTTTTTTTTGAGAACTCTCTTGCTTCTCCCCTGCATTTTTCCCTTTGCTCTTTCCCTCCCCAGGCATGCAGCAGCACTTCCCATGGAAGCATTTGGGTCTAACTGTCATGTACAATGAGCTGGGTGCCAAGTGACGTTCTGTGCCTGGGAAAAGGGTCTGTGCCCAGAGACCTTCCTGCCACGATGTGTGGAGCCAGGATGCAGGGGCATCTCATTTCATCTTCACCATCCACACCTGCTGGGCATTTCCGCCCAGTCCCTCCAAAATGGGAAGCACCAGGTCCCATTAGGGGTTTGTAATGTGTGGACACACTGTTCAGGGCTGTGGTTTACTCTCTGATGAGCCCCGGAAGCAAAGCCCACAGTCAAACCCAGAGCAGAAGTACAAGATCTGAAATGGAGAAAAAACTACACCCCTCAGTCTGTGCCCATTTTGGAGCTGCTGAGTAAAACTGAGGGTGTAGGAGTGCAGTGACTCAGACATCACGTTCCAGTTCATGACCAAGTACTTCCAGCTCATGAGAAGGAATGGGAGCTTTTCACCCCCTTTGTTTCTCTGATGCATTCAGAAAGAAAACTTCAGTGTGCCCCAAACTATAGCTACTCGTGTCAAAATTTTAGGCTCAGAAAACCTTTGCTGTAATACTACAGCAGTAGCCAGCACCTTGAAATGACCCAAAGAGACAGAAAAATTGTGAATACATCTTGCAGCCAGTCACCCAACAGCCAGACACAACCCTGAATGACGTCACCGTCTTCCCAGATCCAGCAAGACTCAGTGTTCCACAGTGCCCAATAAATCATCTACTAATTGTCAAGGCTCACTTAACTCAACCAGAGAAAGAAATTGCCACCTGGAATGCGAGGCTCGGCAGAAGAGAAAGAAGACACTGAGCAGCCTGGCTCTGAAAGTGACACGTTTTACCAAAAGTGATAAGTGCAGGGCGTGAGCCCAGCATGATTGAAACTACAACAAGCCATAAACCAAAGTCTCTCTGGGACACATTGCCACCAATCTGCAATGACCAGTCTGGGCCAGTGGCAGACTAAGACAGCCTGATTAGCCCAGGACACATCTCACTGGGGGGACACCTTGCTGCTATGGCCATTGGCTCTGTCATGGAGAACAGAATAGACATCCGTGTTAGGGCCCAGCTGGGCTGCAGGGAAGGCCAGGAGCCAGTGGTGAGGTGGTGAGGTCACACCAGACATGGCCTGTGAGGATCCAGCATTTGAAGGAGTATAGGATTGGCATATTGACATAAAGTTTATTTCAAGTGTGACGAAACCAGACACGCTGTTTTCATTAGGTGAGGACAGTGCCAGGTGTTGTTGAATCTCCCTTCATACTGTGACCCAGGCCTGAACCTCAGCCATTGTGACATGGAATTATGAATGGCCTACCTTTAGCTGAAAAGCTGTCATACCGTCTTAAAATCTGAAGTTTTGTCAAGTTTTATCCAACAGACAGGATTCAACCCTGCACCCAGTCTTTACCAGCCTGGCTAGGCAAACACACACAGAAAACTGGAAGGGACCACCAGCCTCATCCATCCCTCAGGAATTAAAATGGGATCTCAATTATCCCCTTATTTCTGGTTTCTGGAAGTAGTCTGACATTGTAACTTCCAAAAGGCCTATGAAGGCCCAGCAAGGAGCCCAAGCCCACACAGAGCAGAAGACAAGGGGCTGGAATAAACAAAGTAAGGGGCTCGTTCAGCCTCCTGCATAGCCAGGCCCAGAGCTTCTCCTCCATTCTCCATGCTGGAGACTGTGGCTCTGTGCACCCCACAATCAAGGCCAGCCCCCTCCTTCAGGACACGCCTCCTCCTTCAGGGCCTTCTCAAAGAGCCCAGAGGTAGAGGTTAGAGGACAATTCTCATGGGGTCTTCTTGTGGGGTGCATGGTTGCATTTACAAAAGTGTCCCCAGAGCCACAGGACCTGCCCTCATTTTCCAGCAGTTGAGTCTTGAAACTGCACCCCCAATCCTAGCAGCACCCCTGCAGAGGCGTTCGCTGGGTAGAACTGCCTGGAATTTCTGAGCTCACAGGGCAGTCCTCGTGAGTAATTTTTAACTCTGGAAGCTGGAAAGTAAATGTCACAAGTGTGATCGTCCCAGACATTTATTGGACAGCCAGCAAACGGCCCCCTGCAGGGCACTGAGGATGAACCCACCCGAGACACATGGCTACCAGGGAACCATGTGCTGAACTCTTACCTACTTCAGCAGGTAGACTTCCTCCCTGTCCTCACAGCCTTCCTGGCTGCTGTCCCTCTCTCCCCACACACACACACAGGAGACAGAGTCCAGTCTGGCCGGCCACGGCTCCTGGCTGCTCTCGCCAGGTACCAGGAAGTTCCTCCTGGAGCCACTCTGCCCTGTCACAGGCCAGGCTGTCAACACTGAAGTGCAGGGAGGTGTGAGCTCCCAGCCTCAGGGGAGGGAACACACTCCATTAATCATTAGCCAGCCCCAAAGAGCTGCCAAACACAGGAAGTCCTGGCCCAGGCTCAGTAGGCAGTGCCCTCCAAGCTCCCCCAGGAGCCTTCCTCAAGTCCTTCAGAGTCAAGGCCAATCTCAAACTCCAGTCCTTGTTCATCTGTCCTCTTCCAACAGCTGCAGCCTGACAGAACTGTCCTGCCCAGTGGCAGAACAATGGCCTGGTGGACCTCACTCCTCTTGCCTTCCAGCAAAGCCCAGGGCTGGTGAAACCAGTTTCTCTCCTAGGCAAGCCCAGCATCCACAGGAGCCAGGCCTTTGAGAAAGAAAAAGGCCTTAGGGCATCTGCTCTGGACCGTGACAGCCTCTAGAGGGAAACACATTGTCCTGGAGTGTTTCCCTGGGGACTAGCAGACCACAGACCTCCATTCTCACCCAACCCCTCAAAGACTGAGCGCACACTTGAATTCATAGCTTGAAGCAGTGATGGAATTTGGAGATGGAGCCTTTGAGTAACCACTAGGTCAGGAGGGTGGGATGTTGAGATGGGATGCCCTTATAAGAATAACAAAAAACGAGAGGGTACGTGTAGGGAAAGGCCACGTGAAGACTCAGTGAGAAGCTAGGAAGACGGTCCTTAGCAGCACGGAACCTTCTGGCATCTTGATCTTAGAATTCTGGCTTCCAGAATTGCAAGAAATCTATGTTACTCAAGCCGGTCTGCTTGTGGTATTTTGTTATACCAACACAGGCTTTTCCTTCTTCCTCCTTAGAAAATGACCAGCTCTGAAAATCTGTGTTTCTGCTGGGATAACCACCTACTCTAAATTGTAAATATTTTAGCCTTTACTGCTTTGGTATGAAAATAAAAGCTCTTTTTGATAGGAATGCATTTTTTCCCCAAGTTCTTTACCAATACTAAATCTCTGTGGCAAAACCTTACTTAAACCAGCTTTATTCCTGAGTTGCCTCCTCCTTGGACATTAGTACTTGCCTGGGACTGTCACACACTTAGAAGTTGTCACCCCAGGTCAATATAATCAGGAAAACATTCAATGGGGAGTCCACCTAGAAAAATGAACTGAAAGTAGAAGTGATCCAAACTTCTAATTCCTATGCACTTAAAAGAATACAACTACCTATTCTATTTACTCAAAGAGCTCTAGACTTTTGACTAGCAATTTTGGTCTTTACCTGATTCTGTGGTTTACTTGTGTAAATACTGAATTTTCATAATCCTTTTTAATTGCAGGAAACTCTCATCATCTCTAGTAACTAACTCAGCCAGCAGTCTGCTCAGTGTCTCAGAAAACCGCCCCTTCAGTCACAGTGTCAAGTCCAATTCCGTTCCCACGGACCATGGGACCAGTTTGATCATACAGCCCACCAATTCCATGGGTCGTATTTTGAGAACATTTGATGCTTTCCAGTCATCCAGGTGTTACAGGAGGCCCGGGGTTTATGTCAAGCTCGTGTAGGGGGTTGAGATCAAAGAATTGATCCAAGAGACAAGGAGTATGTGGCAAGGCAGCAAAGTTCATAGAAAGCTGAAAGTGACACTGGCAAGGGAGAAACTGCTTCTCCAGCAGCACAAGTTCTTCAGCTGCTCTGGCGTCTATCTGGCTTTTATGTGGTTTGAGTCAGGCTGGTGGGAAACATGGGTGCTTCTGCAGGTGGCATTAGGGTGATTAGCAGATTTAGGGTGATTGACAGGTGACATATAACTGATATCTGGCTGTG